TACCACTTCCCTCCAAGCCCAGAGTACTACAGCTTGCCCATCAGGAAATGGGTTATTTGAGTAGACTGATCATAATTAAAAAAATTGAATTTGGCCAGGCACTGGTAACTCACACCTGTAATCCTAGCTACTTGTGAGGCAAAGATCAGGAGGATCACAGTTCAAAGCCAGCCCAGTGAAGTAGTTCACAAGACCCTATTTCAAAATACTCAACACAAAAAATAAGAGCTGGTGGAGTGGCTTAAGTGATAGAGCACCTGCCTAGCAAGCATGATCCCCTGAGTTCAAATCCCAGTACCGCCAAAAAATAAAGGGTTAACACCAGTTGTACACAATCTGTTCCAGAAAACAGGAGAGGAGAGAACACTGTTTATTACTCTTATGAAATAACTCAGTACTGCCCTAGTACCAAAACCAGATAAAAATGGTGGGGATGCAAAAAGATGTAACAATAAACAAAAATTTAAAAATCCCACAGGCCAATATCCCATGTGAATGTAGATGTAGTACTGGGCTTACACCTTGAGACACTCCACCACCCTTTTTTTGTGATAGGTTTTTTCAAGATAGGGTCTTGCGAACTATTTTCCAGGGCTGACTTGAATCATGATCCTCCTGATCTGCCTCCTGAGTAGCTAGGATGACAGGCGTGACCACCAGTGTCCAGCTGATACAAAAATTCTTAACAAAATAGTAACATACAGAATTCAGCGATACTGTAAAAGAATTATACATCAAGGCCAAGTGGGACTTAGCCAGGGATGCAGATCTGGTTCAATATATGAAGTAAACAGTTGGGCGTAGTGTTTCACTTCTGGAGTTCCAGCTACTCAGGAGGCTGAGACAAAAAGATCATTTGAGCTCAGGAGTTTAAGGCTTGCCAAGCAACACAGTGAGACAACAATCTCAAAACAGGAAAAATTGGGTCTGGTGGAGTGGTTCAAGTGGTAGAGTGCCTGCCTAGCAAGTGTGAGGCCCTGAGTTCAAAACCCAGTTCTGCCAAAAAAAAAAAGAAAAATTGAAATCAATCAATGTAATCCATAAGCTAAAGAAGAAAAATCACATAATCAAATCAATACTGAAAAATCACTTGACAAAATTCAACATCCATTCATGATAGAAACTCTCAAATAAGCCAGGCATGGTGGGGCATGCCTGCAATCCCAGCTATTTGGGAGGTGAAGACAGGAGGGTTGAGGTTTGAGGTCAGCCCTTATCTCAAAAGCAGAAAAAGAAAAAAAGACAGATAAGAAAAGAAATAAAACAGTGTGTACACATGATCTGATTATCTATGTAGAAAATCTCGAAGACTTTTCCCCCAGCCTCCTAGAACTAAGTAAGCTCAGACATGCTGCAAAATATAAGGTTAATATGCAAAAAAGTTATTTCTATGTATTAGCAATGAACTCATGGCTGCAAAATTTAAAATATCATACCACTTAAAATTGCCAAGAATAATTAAATACTTCGATGTAAATCTAACAAGTGTGAACAAGACTTGTGTGCTGAAAACCCCTTAATGCTGATGAAAGAAATCAAAGAAGATATAGAAATAAATTACAGTGCTTTTAACTGAAAGACTCATAGTAAGATGTCATTTTTCCCCAGACTGAGACGTGGAGTTAATGTAATTTCTATCGGAATCCTAGAAAGAAATTCTGAACGTATAGAAAACTGTGTTCTAAAATTTATATGAAGAGACAAAGGATCAAGAACAGCTGAAACAGTTTTAAAATGAATAAAGGGGCAGGATGAGTGTATCTGAGCTCAAGACTTATATATGGCAAAAGTAACCAAGAGTATATGTTTTTAGCAGAAGAATGGAAACATGTATCATGGAACTAAACAGAAAACCCAGAAACAAAGTTGCAAAAGCAACTTTAAATGAAAGAATGAGAGCTTTTCCAATAAATGTGGTTAGAAAAACTGGAGAACCATAAGCAAAAAACCAAAAGCAAACCGAAACAACAATGAAACCATAAAACCGCCAGAAGGTCACAGATTTAAATGTAAAACATGACATTATAGAACTTTTAGAATAAAACATAAAATACAGATTTTGTAAAGTTGGTACCCAAAGCATGAGTCACAAAAAGAAAATTTGAATTTTGGAATTTATAAAAATTAAAAGCGTATGTTCTGCAAAAGAACCTGTTAAGTGGATGTAGATACAAGGTGGAGACTGGGGGAAAATATTTGCTAATCACACATCCAAAAAAGGACTAGTACCTATGATATATTAAGAACTCTCAAAATTCAACAGCAAAAATACAAATCTTCAGATTAGGATGTGGACAAAAGCCACCAAGAAACATTTCATTGAAGAAGATATGCAGACAGAAAATTATCACCACATGACAACACATTCGCTGTCATGCCATTAAGGAAATACAAATAAAAACCACCTTAATATGTCACTACACACTTACTGGAATGGCTTAAAAAAGAACAGAAGTAGCCAGGTGTGGTAGCTCATATCTGTAATCCAAGCACTCAGGAGATGGAGGCAGGAAGATTCTGGGCTATGCAGCAAGACCCTGTCTCATTTCCCACCCCATCCCCCAAAAAAGGGGAACGAAGTGATGACACCAAGTGCTGAAAAGATGTAAAATGATACAGCTGCTTTAGGAAAAAGTTTGGTGTTTTTGTTTTTGTTTTTTAAACACAACATGGAACTGCTACACAACCCAGCCATGGGACCTGTAGGCATCTATCCCCAAAAGATGAAGCCATACATTCACATAAAAACCTATACACACTGTTCATAGCAGCTTTCTTCACAATAGCCCCAAACTGGGAACAGCCAGAGTCCTAGAACGAGTGCACGAGTGAACAAATGGCCTGCGTTCATGCCACAGAATACTGTGCACCAGGAGGGGAACTCAGGGACTTGTGCTCGCTAGGCAGGTGCTCTACCACTTGAGTCACGTCCCCGGCCCAGGAACAAACTATTGATCCACACAATGACTTGGATGAATTGCCTAAGATTACTGAGTGACAAAAAGCCAACACCGGAAAAGAGCATGATTCCAGTTGTAGCACTTTTGAAATAACCAAAGTAGAGACACAGAAACCAGAGCAGCGGTTGCCAGGGGTCATAGATGAATGCGAGTGGGCAAGGCTTTAAAGGGTAACAAGATCGGTGTTTGGGTGATAGACATGTTCCTTATCTTGACTGTAATGACATCAATATCCCGGTGGTGACACAGTACTGTAGTTTTGCAAGATGTTACTATTGAGGGAACTGGGTGCTAAGTACTCAGAATCTCTATATCATATCTTACAATTGCATACCCATCGACGAACATCTCAAAATAGGTTTAGTTTAATGTCAGGTGTGGTGGTTCATGCCTGTAATCCCAGCACTCGAGAGGCAAAGCAGGAGGATGGAGAGAGAGTTCCAGACTAGCCTGGGCTGCATAGCAAGACTCTGTCTCAAAAAAATAAAAGAAAGAAAGTTAAAGAAAAAAAAAAAAAAGCCCTTTAATTAAAAAAAATTAGTTGAGCTGGACGCCAGTGGCTCACACCTATAAATCTAGCTACACAGAGATCAGGAGAATCATAGTTTGTGAGACCATAGCTCAAAAAAAAAAAAAAATCATTACAAAAAAGGGCAATGGAGTGGTTCAAGGTATAGGCCCTGAGTTCAAACCCCAGTACTGAAAAGAAAATTAGTTGACAATAAAATGGTGCAAAGAGAGTGGACTGGGCACACAGGCTGAGGCTAAGAGAATGAAGGTGTTTGGGAACCCCACTGCAGAGAAGAAGCTTTTTATTGTGAAACTAGTTTTCTTTGTGGTGGACAGAGCTCCTCCCAAGGTGTCCAGGGTGAAAGCACTTTGCTGTGATGGATCAAGTGCTGGTACCTTTACAGCCTGTGGTTTGAAGCAAAGCAGGTGGAGTCAAGTTGGAAGATGCCTGGGGAGGTCAGGAGGTTGAGGCTCAGGCCAGGTTGGCCCCAGGGAACTGGAAAAATCACCTCTTTGAACTTTGATCTGGGCTGGTTAGCTCTAGTTCAGGGCTAAAGGCTGCTGGGAGTCCCTGGGGCTCCCTGTCTGGTCACAGGCTCCACAGTGACCATTCAGTGACTCCCTGAGAAGACAAGGCTAAGGCCCAGGTGTCTTGGAGGCAGGTGGATGGACTCCGTGGTGAGTGGTGAGTTCTTGGTGCCTAGCCCTCTGAGAAACCTGGGCAGTGGTTAGATTGGAGACTTTTTCATTTCTCAGAATTTCAGTTGTTTAGATATGGCCTTTTTTGTTTTGTCTATGTGGCCTAAAATAGGGATTGTCAAAAAAAAGCAGTGTGCAGCGGAGTCACCTGGGGGCCTGTTTAACAGATTTCTGTCTGAAACTCCCAGAAATTCTGATTTCACAGATCTGGAGCCTGGGGGGAATTTGCATTTCTCACAAGTTTCATGGTGACACTCAAACTTCTGGTCTGAAGACCACACTTTGAGAAGCGCTGGGGTAAAAGTGCACTGAAGGAAAGACAGAGGGAGAGACTTGCCCATCCCTGTGGGGTACAGCTGAGGCCTCTGGTTGGGGTCCCTTTGGGCAGTGACCAAGTACCCGCTCAGGCTTGAAGGACAGGGCTGAGTATTGGGGTGGGGTGAGGTAGTGGAGGGGATCATGGGGGTCCTGGGTTGAAGCAGAGGGGTTCTCCAAGAGACAGGGGCTAAGGAAGCAATTCCTGAAGTTGGAGGTGAGATCCGGGGCTCTCGGAGCTGATGTGGGGTTCAGCTCTCAGGGACTAAGAGGCGATGTGAAGTTGGGCTTTGAGGCCCAAGCAGGGGACTGAGCGCGACCTGCAGGGTGGGGCGGCCGGCAAAAGTGCGTGCCCAGCGGCTCGGAGGAATACGGCGGGGGCGGAGCGGAGGGGCGGGGGCGGAGGCGGGGGCGGGTCCGGGGGCGGGGCGGAGCGCGCGAGCCAGCCGAGGAGGCTGCACCGACGAACCCCGGCCGAGCTCCAGTCTGAGCCGCCGGCCGCGCCTCTCTCGCGTCCCCGCCCGGAGCCCGGTGCCGTCGCCCTGTCGCCCCCGCCGGCCATGCGCCGACGCGGGCATGAGCCCGCTCCACGGTCCCGCCGAGCAAGCAAGCGCCCTCGGCCCGGGCCAAGGCGCCCAGGTAAAGAGGGGGCGCTAAGCGGGGAGGGGGACCTAGGCAGCGCCGAGCCAGCGGGACCCCACCCCTGGGCACCCTCAGTCACCTCCCGAACCTGAGACCTTCCTACTTCCTGGGAGTACAAAGATGCGCCCCCCACAGCAAGCCAGCGTGGGCCCAAAACTATCCCTGAGCTGTCCCCACCCCAGCTCTGCTCTCTGGGGAGTCCAGGTCTAGACCTGACCTCACCTGCACCCTCGCGTCCCGCATCAGAGACGCCCGGCCCCTGGCTCCCTGGGCCCGCTCTCTGGAAGGGGCCCAGCCCAGCCCCCCGCAGCTCCCCTCCGCTTTCCTGCTTCCCTTGGCCTCCTGCTCCCTCATCTCCTCCAAATTCCAGGAGTTTCTCTACCCACATTGCTACCCCCACCTGCAAACAGGGTTCCTACCCATCGCTATACCCTCGGCCAGCTGCCTCCTGCCCTTGAATCTTTCTCTCTCCTGTCCACCTTCTCTCCCAGAGCCCTGGCTCCAGCTGAGTGCCTTGTATCACTGCAAAGTGACATGAGCCCAGGCTGGGCACCCGGTTCGTGTGGGCAGAGCAAGGGGCTGGGCAGCCTGCCTGCTTGGAGCTGTGTGAGCTAGACAGTTGTCAGGCACTTGGGTGGAAGGCTGGGGTGTAACTCCAGGACAGTCAGGGACCTACAGTCAGCTCCAGCACACTCTGTCACCAGGGGTTAAGGGGTTGGGCTTCCTGCACATTCTTTCCTGGCCCCTTTCAGAGGAATATGGCTGTAGTTTAGGCTGTTCCTGTCCTCCATCCAGGATGGGTCCCCAATGCTGTGTCGCTCTTACCCTGTTGCTTATCTCTCTCTGCGTGGGTGTTGGGTACTGCTAAGGCAGGACAGCAGGCTGGGTGTGACCTTACCCAACCATCCCAGCCCAGGTGTGGCCACCCTGCCATGCTTGGACACAGCGTCAGTCAGCAGCAGGCTGTCCCCTGAGGCAGCTTTGATCCAAACTGTGGGTCCTGGTTCTCAGTAACAACTCTGCTGATCCTGCAGGTCAGTGCTGAGACCCAGGAGGTGGGAACCCGCTGCTGCTTCTGGAAGTGGAGCTGAACCAGGTGGGTGTTGGAGGTGAAGGGAAAAAGGATGAGGACAATCTGGAGAGTATTGTTCATTTTCCACCTACTCTGCTCTAGTCAGCATTCTAGGAGCTGGGATGGAGCTGTAATTAACAGAAAGGCCCGGCCTTCGGGGACCTGACATTGTAGATGTCTGTCGGTGGCCAAGAAAGAGGTGAAGGAACCAGAAAATCCCCTAGTGACATGTGTGACAAGACAGTGACACCAGGGCATTGTGAGGGAGCTCCCTAGCAGGGCTCCTTGGACCAGAGTAGCCAGGATAGGCCTCTTGGAGCAGGTAGCCTTTGGAAGCAGTGGAGTGAACTTGAGACCGGATGAGAGACAGTGTGAAAGACAGGGAGCAGCCAAGTGCAGTGGAAAGGAGCTTGGCATGTGGCCATAGCAAGAGACTCTAAGAGAACAGATGGTGGTAGTATGGGGTATAACACCATTCTTTGGTCTGGGGACCATTGCTACTCAGGTGTCCCCTCCTTCTGTTGTTCCTCTGTCCAATTGGGTATTTGGTGTATCTTTGCCACCCAGTTTGGGGGGCAGCTCCTTGGTGGAGCTGCAGAGGTGCGAGGACAGGGAGGGGGCACTCCTTGTTGGCTCCTGATAAGATGGGGGAGGTGTGCCAGACTGGCAGGTAATGAGAAGTGGCCCTGGTGCTGGAGAACCTACCCCACTGATAGGATCTTAGCTGTGGGTGGAGACAGCAGATGACAGGGAGATGTGTCCAGGTAAGGCTGTTCCTGAAGACCTGATAAGATTTGATCATCAGGGGTGGGGAGGCCCAGCCAGGCAGCAGCCACTTCTGCTCTGCCGTTGGCTGCCAGCCTCAGCAAGTAGCATTTGTTCTGGAGCCAAAGCCTCCAGGCAGACTCCAGGGAGAGAGCTCCAGTGCTGCCCCATGGAGCAGGTGGGCAGGGAGGGCCCCACCCTTTGCTGGCACCATGAATCCCCCTGTGCCTCCCCATGGGACACTTGCCCTTCCTGGGGATCGGAGCATCTCTCAGCGGGGCCGGCTCTCTCTGTAAAGGAGCCTAGAGTGAGGTACTGTCCCTGGTGGAGCAGCTGCATGGGTGTCAGGCTGGGAGAAGGGATCAAGGGCCCTTGCTCCCCACCCCAAATCATGAGAGGGTCTGCTGGACCCCAGCTTGGCTCTTCTGGCCGTGCAGAGCTCATAGGCCTCATGCCCAGTGCTGTGGGAGGCCGGGACTTTGGCTCTCTCACATTAGTGGCTATTGCTCCCTGCTGTGAGTCCATGAGAGGCTGGTGGTAGCTCACCAGCAATGGGGATATTGACCCCAGGGTGGGCAGGAGAGGAGCTGCCTCAGCTGCTCCTAGTTCTTGACACCTATTGGGCCTTCACGGGGCAGCTTGGTGACTGCCTGGGGTGGGCTGTGGACAGACACAGCAGGGGCACTCTTAGAGCTTGGCAGCCTGTCCCAGCTCATGGGTGGCTGATGGAGTCAGGAAGGAATGGGCTGTGTTGGGCAGGTAGACAACTGGCTTGTGGTAGTTTTCACAGCCCTGAGCTGTGAACAGTTTTTGGGAAAAAAAAATAATAAAACCAATAAAAACAGCCCTTGGGGATTTCAAGGCAGAAACTCTGGGTGCAGAGTGGTAAGCAGGTTCACCATGACTTCACTTCCTCATTAAAGTAGATAGATGTAGCCTTTGTTTTTGAGCCAGTGGGGAAACTTTGGCATGTCTAGGATCTCACAGCTTACTGGATTCACACTCCGGACTGCCGCATCTGGATGAACCCAGGGGCCAAGTGGTTTCTAGGCGTGTTGGAAAAGGGCCTCTGGGATGCACAGCCAGTGGCTTTACTGAGCATCTTGGGGGACCTCATGGAGCCAGTCCTTGCTGTGGGGACAAGGCAGCCCCAGAGGCAGGCGATACAGACAGAGCTGGGAAAATTGACCCCTCTGATTGCCAGAATCCAGGTGTAGCAGGAATTGTAGGGACCAGACTTTCCAGAGGAAGCAGAGTGCTGGTGTCTTAGCTCCGAGGAGTGGAGGAGAGGAAGTGAATGGTGGAGAAACCCTCAGGGGGCCATCAGGGTGCACTTGGGGTAAGGGAGCATTGCCCTCAGACCCACCCATTGTTCACATGTGCCCACTGAGGTACCCTATATGTCCCTTATATATGTCAACAGACGGGCTTCCAGGAAAGTAAATAATGCTAAACTGTCAGCAGATCCAGCAGCATGCTTACCCCAGGATCCCATCCCAGCACCCCAGAAATGCTGCTGCATTCCCTCTTAGTGACCCCTCTGATTCCTGGATATACAGGGGCCATGTTGCTGTCACAGCCCTGCCCCTGAGGCTCGATGGCAGAGGCTTAGGTGGTGGCAGGCAGCCAGAGGTGACCACAGGACAACACTCCATCCTCAGGCTGGTTCCCATCACCAATTCCAGAACTCATTCATCCCTGGCTATACCCAGACTTGGTGTGTGACCTTAGTTCAGTGGATTACTATCTCTGAGCAACTTTCTTTTTCCCATCTATAAAGAGAGGGTCATTGCTGAGATCTCCCTGAGTCTGTCTTTGTTATCTGTGGATCTGCCTGATTCCAAGTGACCCTGCTGTACCCCCATGTCCTATTCCATATTGAGTTCTGTTTGATGCCCACACCGTCTCCTGCATCATCTGGACTCTGTCCTGTGTCCAGGCCCCAGCTAGTTCTTCATTTAATTCCTGCACTTCTTGGCCTTCCAGACCCAAGTACCTATTGGGGACCAGGCCCCACCCACACAGACTGGGCCAAACTTCCCAGGGCCAGGGCCAGGATGAGGCCTGCTTCCACAGTGGCCACCTCTGGCCAGCCCAGCACTTTCCTCAGACTTATCTGGGGACCCGCCTCCTGGACTCTGCCCTCCCATCTAGGAAGCAACACCCAGAGGAGTCCAGGGGCCAGGGGCAGGGCCTGAGTAGTCTGGCTGTCATTCCCAGCCTGTCCTGTGGGGCTGGAAAGAAACAGATATAGGGCAGGGTGGGTGGGGGATTGGGGTCTGCTGAGGCCAACAGAGCAAATTGTCTTTAACCTCAGGGAGCATGGGGATCTCCCAGACTAGTACTGGGCTACTTCCCGGGCCCCTCCCCATCTCTGGAAGCCGGCCCCTGGAGGCTTCCACAAAGGGAAGGGGTGTGCCTGGCAGGTTGCCCTGAGTTTGCCTTAAAGTTGTGACTGGAGAGAGTGCCAACCCAGAACCCTGGCCACCTCCCTTCCTCTGCCCACCTCCACAGCAGGAGTGGGAGCCAGTCCTCCCAAGAAGGGGTTAACTGCCAGCCCCAGCCATGAGGGAGGGGACTGGGCTGGACCATTTTCCTTGCTCAGCTTCCACCTCGGTTTTCCTGAATGGTTCTGCCATCCTGGGGTGGGGAGGAAGGGAAGGAGGAAGGGCGGGCAGAGGGAGGAGGGAGGGAGGAGTGTGGGAAGAGGAAGGAAAAAAGAGAGCGAGACAGCGAGGGGAAGAGAAAGATGTCACTGTCTCTGATCTCCCCTTCATTTGTGTTTCTAGCAGGCACAGGGGGAAGGAGCTGCTAGAACAATGCTGAGGCGGGTGAGGTGAGAAGCAGCCTGAGGACCCAGCTGGACAGAGCGACTGGAACAGGTGATCCGAGGAGCCCCAGACCGGACTACCTGGGTACCCCTCCCTGCCTCCTCGGCCCAGCCCAGCGCCCCAAACACAGTGGGGCCACCATGGCGACCAATTTCAACGACATCGTCAAACAAGGCTATGTGAAGATGAAGAGCAGGAAGCTTGGGGTGAGCGACCCTCACAGGGGCCCCTCATAAGGGACAGTGCTGAGGATGGGCTGGAGCCTTGGTGTGAGGGGTGTGCTCTGTGTGCCTGGCCACACTTGGCACTGTGTGTTTGTGGTTCAGGCTTCTGGCCACAGGCTGCCTGGCATGTGCCGGCCCAGGCTCTGCCTGCTGCAGCCTCCGCCCCAGCAGGGCTGGCTGGCATGCTAGCCACCGGGCCAGTGGTGGTTGCCGATGGGCAGGCAGCTCCCCTGCTATTGTTGAAGTTGTGGCAGCAGCAGCAGCGGAGCCACTGGAGAGCCAGGCTATGTCTGAGAGCAGCATTGCCTCCAGCCTCCTCACCTCTCCTGCCTCCCCGGCTCTCCTGGCCTTTTTTTCTTTAAAGTGCTTCATCTCCCCTACCTTCTGTAGCTTTATGAGCCTGGAAACCATCATATTTTTGATGTTAAAGAAGTGTTTGAAAGGAGCATGGCTGGTTCGGGGGGCGGGGCAGAGGGGCACGAGGGGCAGAAGCCGATACTATGTGGTCTGTGGATGAGAACTTAGGACAGCCGTTGCTCAGGAACTGACTGTTTTCATTTGAGTTGTTGGTTGGTGGTAGCTGTGTGCTTGTTTCGTGCTGGGCCCCTGAGTTGAAGATTGGGGTCGGGGGTAGGAACAGGACAGAGATAAAGCCTCAGAGAGCATGCACCCCACCCCCCTGCAAGCCCCCAGCTGGGGAAGGGCATTAGTAAGGGCCCAAGGGACCCACCTCATGATCTTGGTGAGGTGCCTAACAGCTGCCTTTATTTCTCTGCCATCCGATCTCCAATGAGGGGCCCAGCAGTGACCCCTCCCCAGCAGGAAGGAGAGCCCTGGTGATGGGTGGCCCAAGTCTGTGTCTTACCCTTGTCTCCCTGTTCTGTGATAGCTGGGGTGGGGTCAGGCTGCTCAGGGCTTCCTGGCTCCGCCTTGGGGTGGATAGAGGGTGAATTGGGGAGGTCTGAGGAGCTCTTGGCTTCCCTGGCTGGGAACCAGATGGGCAGGGTGGCCTTGGAGAGGGGTGGTTCTTGCTCCTCCTGGGCCCGTCTAGGATGTGTTGTGTCCAGGCTGGGGCGAGCAGCCCCACTGCTACCAGGTGGACTATGGATGATACAGGGTAGCACAGGGGTGCACCGGGTCTTGTTGAATTTGAATTTGTGGCCCAGCATGGTGGAGGCTCTGCTCTTCCTGAGGCAGGGCTATAGCCCACTGACTTGGAGTACAGAACAAAGGGCGAGGCTGAGGCCAGGTGGGGAGGCCCAGGGAGCTGGAACCCAGCTTTTAACTCTACTCCTCCTTTCTTTGCCTGGACCTGTGAGTCCCCAGGGACCTGTGGGGACTGAGGCCCTGGCAAGAACACAGTTTGCCAGGAAGGACTGGCCAACCCTCTTGGGGTTGTTCTCAGACCTGTTCCAGGGGGAGCCTTGGGAACCCAAGCAGACAGGTGGAGAAGCCGGGGAGCAGGTGGGGGGGTAGGCAGGAGGTAATGTGTGGCCAGGTCCAGACTGCGGTCCTCTCTGTCCTGAGAATTCAGCTGCCCTCTGCAGATCTTAGACTCACTTGCCCTGGTGTGAGGGGTTGCAGTCACCCCAAGCAGCTGCTCCTGCCTCAGTACCCCCCTACCCGGTTCTTAGGCAAGGGGAAGAGAATACAAGCGGCCGAAGACTACCCTCCCACTTGCACAGGCCTCCCTCCCATGCCCACGTGGCAGCATGCTTCTGAAGTGCTGATCAAAGACTTGCAGTAGTGGGAAGGAGGGCTCTTGAGTACAGCTCCCTGGGGCTGTGTGAGTGTATCCTGTAACCAGGCAACCAGAGCGCTCAGGCCCCCCAGTCTCTGCCCCTGATGCTGCAGGCAGCCTGGGGCCCAGCCTGCATCTGGGTTGCGAACATGCATTCATTCATTCATCCACCCACCCACTGTCCCTTCATATGGTCATCCACCTGATCAGTAGAACTCTGTCTGAGAGCACAGTATAGTGTGCCTTATATGAGCTTCCAGCTGAGAGAAGGGCCTGCTGTGGCTTCATTGGACAGGGCAGACATGCCTCCTAGGATCCTGAAACAGCCCATCTCCAAGCTGGGTGCAGTGGCTCATGCCTGTAATCCTAGCTACTTGGGGCTGACATCAGGAGGATAAATGTTTGAGGCCAGACCAGGCACATTAGCTCATGAGACTCCATTTCCAAAATAACCAATCCAAAATAACCAAAGCAGGGCTGGCAGAGTGACTCAAGTGGTAGAGCGCCTGCCTAGCAAATGTAAGGCCCTGAGTTCAAACCCCAGTACCACAATAAATAAATAAATAAAAATTACCTGTCTTTGGGGCTTCTTGGGATGTGGGCTACCTAGGACCATTGTACCTTGGGACCCCATTGCTAAGGGCCTGGTGCACCTGTGGTGTATTAGGGCTGGGGAGGAGGTAGGGCCTTGGGGTTCTGCCCCAGGTCACCCTCCAGGTGCCTCCTCTTTGCACTGGGAGTGGCACCGGGGACCCCTGGCTTAGAAACTGCTGGAAGGAGCTGGTAAACCCACCAGACTCCAGACTGGAGAAAGCCTGAAGCAGGATGGAGGGGTCTGGAAGGAGGAATGGGGCAGTTTTGGCAGGTGACTGGACCCACCCCTCAAGGTGTCTGATAGGCCACTTTGTGCCTCCAACCCTAGAGAATAGTCAGCCCATCTGCAGACGTTCATAAAGCTTGGAGAATTTTACGGTGGCATAAGGCACAGGGCTTTGGCAGTGGGTAGGGTGTGGAGGCACCCACCCAGGGAAGGCACTGTGCTGTGGGGGGCACTCCTGTTCTCTGCCTGCCCACCTCTGAGGGCCTCTGCTTTCCCCACAGGAACTAGGAAGTATCCCCAGCCCCTTATGCAGGAGGAGTGGCAAGAGGATAAGAGGACGAGGGGATGCTTTGGGAGACAAGAGTAGTTACAAACACCAAGCACTTTGCCTGGCTTAGAGACAGAGCTGTGGTGATGTGCAGGCTGGCTGTCCCTGTCCTTAGGAGACTGCTGTGTGGCAGGTGCCCCAGCCAGAGTGGCCTGTGTAGTGGGCTACAGTTGCTGGCTCTGGCTCTGGACAGCCTCACCATTTGTTAGCTATGGCTTCACTTTCTGGTGCCTCACTTTCCCCATCTCTAAAATGGGGCGATAATAGAACCAGCCTCAGGAGTTCATGAGACTGAAGAGTGCTGATAGAAAACATGTGGACAGGAAGCACTTTAATGCTGGAACTTGTGGAAACTCAGGACCATGCTCATGGGAAACTTGTGAGCCCCTTTGCAGAACAGCCTTACCAAGCTAGCTGCCGATGACTGCCTTTGCTGGTTGGGGAAGGGGATGTCACTCTGGTGACTTTTATCCCCTGGTGTCCTGCAGGCCTCCTGGGAGCTGTGTGGCACTGCCCCCTGCTGTAGGGAGGGGTAACTGCAGGGCTGTGGTGGCAGAGTGGGAGTGGTCCGAGGCTGAACTGATCCCCTGTGGTCTTGTCTCACAGATCTACCGGAGGTGCTGGCTGGTGTTCCGGAAATCCTCCAGCAAGGGGCCTCAGCGGCTGGAGAAGTATCCGGATGAGAAGTCCGTGTGCCTCCGAGGCTGCCCCAAGGTTAGGGGCCCTGGGCCCGAGAGCACCCTTCTGGGGGTGGCAGAGCTGTGGGGAGGCAGAGGGAGATGCCCAGCATGGCTAAGTCCCTTATGGATACTGTCCCAGGTGACTGAGATCAGCAATGTCAAGTGTGTCACCCGGCTCCCCAAGGAGACCAAACGGCAGGCAGTGGCCATCATATTCACGGATGACTCAGCGCGGACCTTCACCTGTGACTCAGGTGGGGTTGCTAGCTCCCTCTGGTCTTCCAGACTGGCCCGACAAGGAGGAGGCAGAGCAGGCTGACTGTAGAGGGTCAGAAGGGAGAGTCCTCAAGGGTACAGGCCCAGACTGAAGTGGGCAGGCAGGCAGCCTGACCTTTTCCCTTGCATGGTGGGTAGCAAAGGCTGAGGCGGATGGGTGGGCTGCTGGGGACCTTGAGCTGGCCCCATGACAAGAAACCATTTTCTCCAGAACTGGAGGCAGAAGAGTGGTACAAGACACTGTCTGTGGAATGTCTGGGGTCACGGCTCAATGACATCAGTCTGGGAGAGCCCGACCTCCTAGCTGCTGGGGTACAGAGTGAGCAGACAGGTGAGTCCCTGGGTTTGGGGGTAGGGAGCTGAGGGGAAGGGAGCTGGAGGCCCCTTTGGGTAGCTCTTATTCACTCAGCCTCTCCTGCTCCAGATCGATTCAATGTCTTCCTGCTCCCCTGCCCCAACCTGGATGTGTATGGCGAGTGCAAGCTACAGATCACCCATGAGAACATCTACCTCTGGGACATCCACAACCCCCGCGTGAAGCTCGTCTCGTGGCCCCTCTGCTCCTTGCGTCGCTATGGCAGGGATACCACACGCTTTACCTTTGAGGCAGGCCGGTAGGACCCTCTCGCCTCCCTACCACATCTCACTATGGTCACAATGGTGAATGCCATCTGCGCTGTGCTAGACGCATCATTCATACAGCAGCACAGTCCACAGGGGAATCCCATCTTCCTGTTTTACAGATAAGGAGCTTGAAACTCAGAGAAGTAACTTGTCCCCGGTAGGCAGGTCAGGTAAAGCTGTTTACCAAAGGCCAAACTGCTGGGTCTCAGAATACATTCTATTGCTGGCCCGTATGGGCTGTGATGGAGGACCAGAGTTCTGATCAAAAAGGGGAGCACCTAACCCAATAGAATTATGGTGAGGATGGGGTGGCCCTCAGCTGAACTGGAATCTGCCTGTCTAGACTTAGATTCTGCTTAAGTCTGTATAATTAATCTTGGTTGAGTTGCTCAGCTTCTGTATGCTTCAGTTGGCTCACCTGTGAAATGGTCAAGGAAACACCATAGTGAGGAATCTAGACTGGAGGGTGAGGGACAAAACTTAAGTAGCTTAAGTGGCTTCTTGAGAAGTATTCAGACCCTACCCTGGCCTGTGACAACCACTGGGCACCCTAGACTACAGCCCTCCTGCTCCCAAAGGGCCAGTGCAGCCCCAGCTGGTGTGCAGAAGGGTCTGACCATGCACATGCTTGGATGGTGGGATTCGTCACCTCACCCTCCTCGCCAACCTGTGTTCACAGGATGTGCGATGCTGGGGAAGGGCTCTACACCTTTCAGACGCAGGAAGGGGAGCAGATTTATCAGCGGGTCCACAGTGCCACCCTGGCCATCGCTGAGCAGCACAAGCGGGTCCTGCTGGAAATGGAGAAGAACGTGAGGGTAAAGCAGTGGATGTTAGTCCAGGGCACAGGGGAGGTGCCCAGGGGGCTCTGCCGGTGTGCTTGTAGTAGAGGCAGGCCAGGCCTGGGGCTGGCCACTCAGGGATATGTAGGCCCTCATCCCCCTTCTCTGCTCCACAGCTGCTGAACAAAGGCACTGAGCATTACTCCTATCCCTGCACACCCACCACCATGCTGCCCCGCAGTGCTTATTGGCACCACATCACGGGTTCCCAGAACATCGCTGAAGCCTCCAGCTTTGCCGGTGAGTCCTGCCGTGCCTTACGCCTGTGGAGGGCAAGGCCTCCCCAGCAGGGCTCTTTTGCTCAGATCTGAGTTCTGAGCCTGCTTCTGTGCTCACAGGTGAGGGGTATGGAGCAGCCCAGGCCAGCTCGGAAACGGACCTCCTCAACAGATTCATACTGCTAAAGCCAAAGCCCAGCCAGGAGGACAGCAACGAGGTCAAGACCCCTTCCCAGTGACAGCAGGACCGTGGGTGCTGATGACTGCTGGGCTGCCTATTGAAGGGCGGACTACAGTGTCCCGTGGACAGCCTCCAGAGGCTGTGGACCAAGAGCCTGAGAAGGGGAGCAAGCTGTTCCCTCCTTGCCCCCTGGGTGAGGCTGGACCAAGGCAAAGGGCTGGCCACACCGCCTGAGCATGTGTGAGGGGCTGGAGCTACCGCGGACTATATACTTTAATGATTTTAATATATATGGCTTATGACATATTCTATATTAATGAGATTCCCCCTCTATCCCTCCTCACCAACACACATTTTTTTAATCCCATGACCAGGTCATGGTCATGACTATTTTTGAGGATGACTGGCTGTTTTTGTCCTCCATGGTACGGCCCTCCTATTGCCAGGACCCACTTGAGCTGCGGGGGCCAGAGGGGGAACAATCAGAACTCAAGGCTGGTGCTGCCTATTGGTTTTTCTCAAGTAGCCCAGGGGCCAAGACAGCAGGTGGCTTTTCAGTTCCTCTGGGCCTGGAATGGCACAAGAAGGATATGAATTTCTACTGTGCCACTTGGCAGCCTTGCACTTTGGAGTTTTAAGCAGAGGTGACATCTAGTTTTAAAATGTAATTTCTGCACAGGCTCCTTCCTGCTCAGTAAGCTGAGATGCCCTCAGGATAGGGGGTCCAGATTACCTTGGCCTAGAGGATAGCTGGGGCTACTTCCTGCCAGGCAGGGCCAGGCGGGAAGGCTGCAGCAGGACTGCTGTGGGGAGCACCCCTGCTGCCCCCTCTCACTGGCCAAGGGTGGCCAGCAGAGTCTCTCACCCTGAGCTTGGCCGCCCTGTGCCAGAGCACTCAGAAACCAAGACCTTGCCATCTCCTCCCCACATGGTGCTGAGGCTCCCTGCTGAAATGCAATTAAAGCAATTGATTTTCTAGTGCTGGTATTTATTGACTACCGAGCAGAAGGGCTATCTTTCTATTCACATCAAATCTTTGGTGGTTGCGTGGCTTTTGTTTTTTTTAATACTTTAGGATTCTGATTTGTGGGAACAGACCTTCTTGTAAATAAATACTATTCACATTTGTGATAGGAGAATGATAAAATAAGAGGCCCCCTCCCAAGGGAGCCCCAGAGCCTGGGAGGTGGCACAGCCAGTCCAGCTCTTAACGTGACCCAGACAAATAAGCTAATCCTGGGAGGGAGGCAGAGCTGGCTGGCTCAGCTAGTGACACGATGACGCATGAAGGAGATTATGTTGTGCTCTTTATTGCCAAAAATAAAAACTTTTAAAAAGACTACTGTTAATCAATAAATAGCCCTTCCTCTCTGCAACGATCTCTGGGTTTCTCCTGGCTGCCTAATGAACTGCTCTGGGTGTGCTGCCTGGAGACAGGGCTAAGGGGCAGGGTCAAGGCCTTCATTAAGAAGTGAAATGTGTGGGAGGGGCCTGTGTTCCCTCCCCCACACCCACCCCACAAATGGTCAGGCTATTGGTGGTGAAGTAGATCATGACCCAAGGGTAGAAGATAAAATAGCATGTTTATTTGTGGGAGAAGGCAGCAGAGTCCAATGCTGTTCACAAAGGGTTACTTTTCAAATGAAGGACATCTGGAAATTTGAGGCGCCAGTAGGTTATGCCTGAATGAAGGTTCTGGGACTCAGTCCTAACCCCAGAAACCTCAAGACATCTGTGAAAATTTCTTCTTTAGGACAGAAAAGGTTAAAAGAGCTGGAATAACCAGGAGAAGTCTAGCTCAGTGATTCTCAACAGGGAAGCAGTATATCCTCCTCTTGGTGTGCTAGGAAAAAGGATGGAAGGGATGTTTGGGGTTCTAGAGAGCACTACTAGCTTAGCACGCAAGACCAGGATGCTAAATGTTTAGTAAAAAACTCTTACCTCGCTGGGCATGATGGCACAAGCCTGTATGGGGAGGCTAAGGTAAGAAGACTGAGTTCAAGGCCAGCCTGGGCTATATAATAAGACCCTGCCTCAAAAAAAAAAAAAAAGAAAAGAAAAAAGAACTTCTAAAGCTGCCTGTCTGGCTTAAATCCTAATGGCACCCTGGTTTTCCACCCACATTTCCTTCCCAGCTGGTCTGATGACCTGCCAAGCAGCAGCAAGCAGTCCAAAGCCCAGAACGTAGGGACTCAGGAGAGACCTGAAATCCAACTGTCATCTCAAATCCCCACATTTGGTGAAAACAGACGAGCTGCTGCTAGTTTATGGTTAGTACATCACTCTGGATCTCGTGGCTTAATTGAGTTTGTAAATCACTCAGCTTCTTCTTCAATCCAGAGAGGGCTGAGAGGACAATGGTTTCAGGGCGCAGAGAGCCACAGGACTCCACGTTGTAGTAAAACCTAAGAGGCAAGAGTGCGGTGAGAGCCCTCACAAAGCAGGCTGGCCGCCTGAGCATCAGGCCCAGATCACCCTTTCTCCTTGTGGGACCTGATGTCATTCCTCTGAAGAACTTGACCTTGGCACACTGCTGACCTCCCTTCATCTAAAACCTGTTATGCAGAGTGGTCTAAACCTCCTCAAGGAGGTTACAGCTACTTCAAAAGGTATTATGAAAATTCTAAAATCAATCTGTTCATGTATGTCACACTAGGAAGAGTGGAAAAACCAAACAAGCATTGACTCCAGTCTACAGCCCTTCAAGATTCTTCCCTGTAGGGCTGTGGTCAGTTTTCACCCTGAGCTTGGACCTAAATGGCCTCTTCTTGGCAGCTCAAAAGTGAAACTGAAAGAGCATGAGTCACTGGAGGGCTGCTTTCTCATGGTGACCAAAAGTGGGATGAAGACCAGCCTGGGACATGCATGTATCATGAATTTAGTTTGGCAGTTAGCCCTCCTGGAATGCTAGGGGAGGGGACTACCTAACAGCCCTCATCCACACTTCACCATCCCATGCGAGACCAGGGAACTTACCTCTCAGGCTTGCCATTGGGGTCATAGGGAGCCTGTGACTCGTCCTCATCCAGCTCTGAGTACTCACTCTTTGGCCTAAGGTCAAAACACGTCAGCATTTAGGGCACTGTGCGTTTAGGGCACTTGAGTTCACTGAGAGCAGCCCCCCTTCTCACTATCTCACTCAGGAGCAGCCACTGCCATCGCAGCCCCCACCCTAAATTCCTGTCTTCACTTCCAACAGGAACATACCATTCCTCTGGTTTGGGGTACACTGTATGCCTCAGAGCATTATCTGGATCATATTCAAAAGCCACCCCTGCAGTAGGGTTCCATTTGGCATGTTCTTTGCCAAAGCCCTTTTTGGCATAGGCTCGAAGTCTCAGTTCCTGGCCTTTCCTCAGCTTGACAATGAGGATGTCTGCAGGGAGAGGTGCACATCAGTGATGGGCCAGGAGAGGCCAATTTCTGACCTGGAGAGCTGCCTGAAGACCACCCACATGTGGAAAACAGGTCTAGAGCCAGAAAGTTACAAGGAGCCCAGGCAGCACAAGAAGCCGTGTTTGGTCTCTGCACCCATGGCCCACACAGCGATGGTCAGGAAAATGCCTGCACTCTCGCTCCAGTCCCTTACCGTCCTGCTCCACGTAGTCATTAGGGTCATTATCTCGGTTCCGTGATGTCACCTATAGGGAGCCCAAACAAGTGTTTATGAGCTTCTCATTTTCCAGTCACCTCTTTTGGTAACTGTCTTCCAGCACCTCTAACCTGCATGCTGACAAGCCAGGGAAAGAGGACCGAGGTGGCAGCAGAGGTGCCTACAGGGCTTCTACCCTATTTTATGCTGTGACAGCCTTCTCAGTCAAAACAATTCCATGGCCTCTAAAAGGGTCCCTGGGCAACAGATGGCCCACGGCATGAATGCTCCTCTGCCCAAGAAAAATCCAGAATCAGCACTTCTAAGCATCAGGCTGAGGCAGATGGGTCATAGAAAGTTTCAGCATCTCCTAAGTATTCACTCCAATCTGTCCCCCTTGGAGCCAGAAAGAGAAGAGCAAAGACCCTGGAGAGGGAGGGTACTCTCAACACTGACCGGAATGACCCGGGGGCTGTTGGAGATGAGGTCTCGAGATGTGACATGACGCGTCTGGTCTTCATTGCACCGAACGTCAAGAGTGAACTCCACAGAGCACTCGGGGCAGAACTCTTCACATGTGCAGTCCTGAGGCAGGAAGAGAAGCAGTCTATGAATCGACAGCAAATCCCGACTGAACTCCCTGCTTCAATACCTGAATCCTTTAAGTTTCATCATCTGCGAAAAGGAAGTGGCCATTCTCTAGGATCTAGTGGGCTGTGGCAATCTGGTACACCATTCCCATGGACTACTCAAGTCCTATGCCTGCTGACACCCACATTTCCTTCCCACCCACTAGGAGATGCACTGCTAACATCTTACTGCCCTCAGAAGACCCCTCTTCAGGGGACCAAGGCTGTTAGGGGAGAAGATGCTTCACACACTACAGTCCAGCTTGCCATGGACTAAGCAGACCATGACAGTTACATTCCTGTGTAACAGGAACAGAATAAAGTACCTTTTATGTTCTAGAATATTAACCTTGTCTCTAAAAACCTCTCTTGCGTGGAAGGGAAATGAGGGAGAATGATGGAGGGGGTGAATCTAATTAAGATATATTGTAAGCACATATATTAAATATCACAATGAATCGCCCCAACTATTAGGTATTAATAAAAAACAAAAAACCTGTTATGAAATATTTCACCCATACACAAAAATAGAGAAAGGTGTAATACATTGTGGAAACCCTTCACCTGGTTTCCACAATTATCAACACTTGCTATTCTTTCTCTTTTTTTTTTGGCAGTGTCTCACTATGTAGCCCAGGTTGGCCTGGAACTTGAGGTCCTCCCGCCCCAGCCCCAGCCTCCTAAGTGCTGGAATTACAGGTGTGTACCACTGTGCCAGGCTCAATGACTTTTTTCTTTTTTTTTAACTGCAGTACTGGAGTTTGCAAGTCAGGTGCTCTACCATTTGAGCCATGACTCCAGCCAGTAACTGACTCTTGAAAGGGCCTATCCCACATTAGGGATTCTCTGTGGCAATTTAACTTAGGGCAAGAAGACTGTTCCAAGAATGTAATCACAAAAATAGACTCTCCCTCATACCAGGGAGGAAAACCCAACATATTTTGACTTTTGCAAGATGATGAGGGAGAAGAAGGAATTAGAAGTCACACTTGAGTAGTCTGTAGTCATAACAGGTAGGTGGGGGACAGGAAGGCAATCCTGACCCTCAAGCTGAACTCCTAAGAAATACAGAATGAAAACCAGGTGTTGTTGTACACAACATGTAATCACAGCACTCAGGAGGTTGAGGCAGGAGGATCACAAGGTTAAGGCAAGCCTGGGCTATAGAATGAGACCCTGTCTCAACAACAAAAAAACAAAGAATCAAAAAAAAGAAAAAAGAAAAGAAAAAGAAAAATATGAAAATGGAAGACAAACAAGTGAGAGGAGTTTGTTGAGGGTGAAAGGAGATAAAGAGCTATAATCAAGTGAAAGTTGACTATATCACAGATCCACAAACATCCAAAAAACAATAAAGAATATTTTGGAAACAGCCAGGAAAAATCTAAATATGGACTGAAGATAGGTATTCTAATTTACTTGGGCATAATAGGGTGGTTACAGAGCAGAACACCCTCATTCTTAGAAGATGTGTGCTGCAGTGCTTAGAAAGGTCAAGATGTCCACAACTTATTTTCAAATAGTTCAGCTAACACTACATAAAAAAAATAAAGCAAATGTAGCAAAATATTAACAACTGGTAACTACAGGAGAAATATTATTTCACTATTATTCCATTTTTCAAATTTTCTGTAATTTTCAAAAAATTAAAAAAGACCATACCATCTTTGTTCAATGAATACAATACTAGAAAAAATGTAGTAGAAGGAATTTCTAGGACATAGAGAACACAATCTATATGCAAGATACTACCAAATTGTTCTTCGTTGGTTGTACAACTGTCCCCAATATCTTTACAAAAAAAAAAATAAAATGAAATCTTGGGCTGAAGGTGTTAACTCAATGGTAGACCTTTTGCCTAGCACACACAAGGCCCTGGGTTCCATCCCAGCACCCCCAAATGGATATCTGAAACAGTATCACAAAATGTTAAAATGCAACAAGTTGCTAGGTGGAATTTGTATATTAGCACCCTACTTTTCTGTGTGCTTCACTACTTCTCTTAACTCCTATGTATTTATAAGACACACCAAATGAACCAACACTGGGATCAGAAAAATGGATGGATTCAGGATCACCCAAAGCCACCAAGAGGGCATGGCATGGTCTCAAGCTGTTATCTAACGCAGTGCCCCATCTGGGGCAGTAATACTCTGGCCACATGTAACTAGCATCACCTACAGGGAGAAGAACGCATCTGACAAGCAGATCCCTCAAGTGCTGCTCTTGTGGAACAGTCCCACTTCCTCTGCTCCTTGTTCTTACCCATTACAACCTGCTGCTGGCTCCCTTTGGCCTGCCAGGCCCTGCCCCTAGGAAAAGATGCTGTGGAAGTAAAGCTGATAATTCAGAATAACTGGACATTCTGGAGAATGCCCCTTCTTGTGCAGCTGGCTAATGATGCCCTGTGAGCCATATCTATCTGAAGCTCCACTAGAACCAAGGCCAGTGGAGGGTTCTAGACATCATCTCTACGTTGATTTTCTGAACTACACTACACTCCAATGTAGAAGATAGATATCTAGAAAGATACCTCAGAGACCTGAAGCTCCCTTCCTGAGTCCCAATCCACTCAGCATGCACATACCCGAGAGTACTGCAGCTTGTCCACAATGTCATCACTGGTGAGGGGAATTAATCCTATAAAAACACAGAAAAGCAATTTAAGGAAGAGCCCAATAGCCAAGGCAACACGAGAACTCCTTGGGGTTGGGATGTTCTGACATCAGCAACAGTACCCTCCCGCCAGCCTCCCAACACCAGCACTTACCAAGCCTGTGAGCGATGAACTCATCATGAAGGACCGAGGAATTGGCATCAATTTGAACCCAGTCGATGGCTAAAAAGTGAAGGAAGCAGAGATGCACACGTGAAAGGGCTGTAGCTCAATGGTAGAGTGCTTGCTCGCCTAGCATGCACAAGCCCCTGGGCTCCATCCAGAGAGCCATATGTAAGGTTTGGCCACCAAATTCACCTACAGACTTGCAGCAGCATTCAAGATTTAAGACCACCCAATGCTTACTAAATTGCAGATGCTGGAGCCAGGATGCCAGAAGCTCTGATTCCACAGTGCTAGAGTGGGGTCTAGGAATCTGCATCTTAACAAGAACCACACACTTCACTTCTCCTCTACCCAGGTGAATTTAATGCAGGGTTTCCCAGTACCACACAAAGAAACTCACTGAGAGAATATTGCAAGAGTGAGAATACATTTTTGAGCTGAGTATTTCTGTCAGAAGCAAATCTGCTACCTATGCCAACATCAAATCCAAGATCAAAATCTATTTGGGCGCTTAAAAATGAGGGAAAACCTCACAGAAGTATCGCAGACATATGGTCCACACCTCATTTATGTATAATCACTAGGTTCCCCATGAAGACCTCCAATACCACTCCACCAATGGATGCCCACCAAATTCCTTCAACAGGCAAAGCATACTTAGTTAAAACCCAATTGCAGGCTGGTGGAGTGGATCAGAGTGGTAGAGCACCTGCCTAGCAAGCATGAGGCCCTAAGTTCAAACCCCAGCACCACAAAAAAAAAAAAAAAAAAAAAAAAAAAATCCCTTCCAGCAATGAGCAGGGGCAGCAAAGACCCAACTCTCTCTCTCTCGCTCTCTCTCTCTCACACACACACACACACACAAAATAATACACTCAAAACAAACATGCGCACCTAAACAATTAAAGCCAGAAACCAAGTGGCACTGGAGCCCAACCGCCAAATAAGGGGTATGGACACTAGGAACAGAGTTCAAAAAAGGACCAACCTAAGCAAGGACCATGACAGGATCCCAGGCCACCATCCCTGGCAAGGCACTACCACCTCTGTACCCCTCCTCCCCAACAGGTGAAAATCCTGAGCCTCTAAAAACCAAGGCTTGTCTGCCGTCCATGCTAGAGATGTTACTTATTCCCTGCCTTGAACCCTTCCTTCTCTCACAAAACTGCAGACTCCCTTTAAGATACCTGTCACGTTTTGCCATGTGTCACGTATGTGTATGTTTTGTCTCTACCTCAGGTCTGGCACTTTCAAGCTCCAAACATGTAGCTAACATAACAGATTCATAAAAGACATCTGCCAGAACAGATAAAGAAAATGTGGCACATATGCACAACTGAGTATTATTCAGCCATAAAGAATGAAATTATGGGACTGGCGGAGTGGTTCAAGTGGTAAGTAGCAAACACGAGGGAGACCCTGAGTTCCACCCCCTGTATCACCATGAAAAAAAAAAAAAGTCAAGAACGAAATTATGCTATTTACAGGAAAATGGAACCAAAGATCGTGTTAAGCAAAATTAGCCAGACCAGAAAAACAAATATTGCATGTTTTTCTCATATGTGAATCTAGATTTTTAAAAATGCAATGAAAGCCGTTATTGTGTACACGACACGCACAGTCACATGCACAGGCATTCTCAACAGCGCGGAAATGGAACCAAAGATCGTGTTAAGCAAAATTAGCCAGACCAGAAAAACAAATATTGCATGTTTTTCTCATATGTGAATCTAGATTTTTAAAAATGCAATGAAAGCCGTTATTGTGTACACGACACGCACAGTCACATGCACAGGCATTCTCAACAGCGCGGACCCCCAACAGGGAACGCTGGGGACGGCGAGGCGGCAGCACCGGGGATTAACAGCGGGCCACTGGGTGAGCGCAGAACTGGAACCCTGTCCGAGGACGCGTCCTCGTAACGGCGACCTGAGCGGCGGCCACCGCCCGAGGTCCCTGGGTCCGGTCGAGTCTCCGCACCGCAGTTTTCTCAGCACACCGTCCCCCGCGCGCCCCACCGAGGACCGCGGCAGGAGCGCCCAGGTGGGCGGAAGGGGGGGAGCGGGGAGAGGGCGGGGGTCGCGTACCTATTATGGGCACCTCAGCGATGAAGACCCTCCGAATAGAGTTGGCCACTCTGAAGGAGAAAAACCAAGCTGCGTGAGGGCACCGCGGCCTCGACAGGCCAGCCCGCGCCCGGCGTCCCCGCACCGAAAGCCCCGGCACAGGGGCCGTTCTGGAAGGACCTCCCTCTACCAGCCCCAACTTGGCCTCCCGGAGCTCCAGGGCCTCCACCTCCGCCCTCAGCCGCCTTACGCCAGGTCCGTATTCTCGATGATAAACTTGACGTTCTCGTCGGTGAGCTCCGTGATCCGCACGGTGGGCTGGTTAGCGTACGGCATCACGCCCCCGGCCCGCGGCCTCCTGCGTCTGTCCCACCGCGCCTGCGCCGCCGCCGATCCCGGAAGTCGACTAGCGCGGCCCCCGCCGCTTCCGCCGAGGTGCGCGCGCAGCGCCACCTGTTGCTCGGAGTCCGGTACCACCCGGGCCCACTTTCTCTAATCCCACCTGCTTCAAAATGCACCAGATTCAACCATTTTGGAGGGTGCTGTAGCAAAACATGTAGACCCCTGACTCAACAATAAACTTCTAAGAATTCATACTGCAGAAGCACCTGCACTTGTAAACAAAGATACACGTACAGGGTTGCTCATGCCAGTACTGTTTGTAAAAGCAAGACAAAACTCCATGGCTTTTGAGAGACCTGGTTAAAGCATAGGAATACAATGAAGCGTTTTTAAAAGAAGTGAGTTCAAAGTCCAGTACCGCCAAAAATAAGTAAATAAATAAAAATAAAAGATGAAAAAGAGAAAAAACCAAATTAATAAAAAAATGAAGTAAGCGTATACCTCTATACTTAACAGTTGTATGTCCACTTTAGCAAAGTATTCAACCATAGGCACACACCCTTCCCCTTCCACCCTCAAGTCTGGATGACACACTTCTGAAAACTGCAGGAAGATACTATGCTCTTTTACACAAGGTGTCACCTACAGTTCTGTGTAGTTGTAGTGGGCGGGAGCACTGCCACATGGGATGTATGCTCAATCACGAATTACCAAAGGCACCTAAACAGTCTGAAGACATGTTTAAATGAACTTCAAAAAGCAGAAGCTGTTCACACAGACAAAAGCAGCCCTTAAATAAAACCTAGCAGGAACTACATTTAGAGGGCAGAAAAGTCACGAGATAATAAAGAGGTCTGCAGTAGAAGCAGCGACACCTCTTCCCAAGACTAGACAAAAAGCACTGAGCCATTGCTCCACAGCCCACACCATCTCAGTAAATGATGCAGTACACTCAGCTGGGTGTGAGGTGGGTGCTATGAGGGATAAAGGAAGCTGCAATGAAATGTGGAATGGCTACTGAGGAACTTCAGTCAGGAAGTCAAGAGGCACAAAGAATCAGAGGCCCAGAAAGGGCCCAATGAAAAGCCCACACGGAGACCTGAGAATTGATTAGCTCCTGACTTCCCCATTGTTATTCAGCTAACTTGAGCAAGAAAAACAAGCAGAAGACAGAATGAACCAGAGGTGCAAAGGGAGTCCAGTCAGTGTAGAATCTGAGAAAAATCATTAAAGAATGTATCACTGAAGTGGTTAGTGACAGATCAGGGCAGACAAGAGAGTTCATGGTCTGGGGAAAGGCCCTATGACCCCCATTTGAGTGATGGGAAGACCTGGGCCCAGAAACACCACATTACCATAACTGGCCTACAGGTATTGGGCAGCACCAGGGCCAGACTCAAGTCTCTTGGCTGCTAGGCTTCAGCCTTTGCCACAGCACTGCTGTCTCCTGCTGGGGTCTTAGATACCAATCATAGATGGAAACTACACAACTGGAAACTACTTCAAACATATTTATTATTTTTACAGATTCTAAATACACTAATAATTCTACAATGCATGCATGCTGGTGTAAAGTGCTCTGGCCAGGCTGAGCATCACTGTCCACCAGGCACCAGTCTTACGGGAGGCAGCTTTGAGAGAATCCATAGGATAACATCAAGGGACAGTGGGAATGACCTCCTGTGTACACATCCCTGTGCTGTTCTAGGGATGAACTGCCACCTTGTGGTAGCTTTGGATCTTGACTCTGGCTTGGAAGCCCAGAGAACATTTCTAAAAAGGCTAAGACACGAGCAAGGTGCCTATTGAAACCATGACAGGGAGGTGCTGAGTTTCTGTGGCTTGAATGCTTGGGTGTAAGCTTTGTTTTTGAATCACACAGCTGCAATGCAGAAAGGCGTCAGGGGGCCATGCCCAACAGTAGGAACTGCAGGAGTGGCTCAATCCCTGGCCACAGCCCTATCAAGTGCCCTTTGGTTTCCAGGTGGCTGTAGGAGTGACACCAGAGCCCTTCAGTGTGTTCTCATTAACATCCTGTTCCGAGGATGGCACTTCTTACTTGTCAAAGCCTTTTAAATCTATCTGCTCGCTCCTCTCCTTCCAGGCACTTAGGCTGACACGCCTTCCTCTCATCGACGCTGGTTTAGACCTGTCAAGTTCTTGAGCTGATACGGGATGGAAGCAGAGAGAGTGGTGAGGCCTTACCCTGCCTTTAGAACTCCAATGAGAAAGATGGCAGACATGGCTAAGATACAGATTCTTGACACACCAGGGGCCCAGAGTCAGTAATATTTCTTGATGCCAGGAAAGAAAGACGTGGGGCATTTGGGATCATGACATGGCTTAACCAGTGTCTGTCTTATTAGCTTTCAGTTTAAGGCTACAAAACTATGTGGCATCAGTGGACACATGAAAATAGCAAAAGGCCAGCGTGGAATGGAGATCGGCAGAGATGAGCTGGGCGATACTCACCGTTACTGCTGCACCCATGAGTCCTTGCACCAGTGCCTCTCCAGTGGACTTCACCTAGAAGGAGCATGGGTCAGTTCCCGTAAGCTCCCAACATTAGCTCTAAGGTGGGACAGGAAGGACAAGTCAGGAAGTCTATGAGCCACCAAGTGGAGTCAAGATGGCCCAGTGTACTGAGGGGGGAGCCTTGGACAACACAATCACACACGGGTGAAGTATGGTTAAGGACAGACTAGCCAGGCAAGATGATGTGCTGAGGTTCTCAAATGGCCAGTCCCCAACTACCTGCTTGGCAGTGTGGCCCATGTTCATGGCGTCATTAATCCGGTTTTCCAGGAAGCGCCAAGTGTCCTCGAAGTCTGGGGATGTGTCCTGCATCATCACTAGCTCTGTTGTGTTGTAGATGCCAGCCAGCACAGCACGGCGGGTGTACCAGTTAAACTGCAGAAAGACCCACCCAGCATGGGGCTGACCACTGCTCTGTGGGCCCCAGGAATTCTAAGGTAGTTCCCACCCAAGGTCTTGGGGACTCCTGGGCTCTCTCCTGATTTCTTCTTTCCTTCATAGAAACAAATAGCCCACTAGACAATAATGTTCTGAATTTATCTAGGCATCAGAATTGCTTGTGAGATTAAAATGTAAGCTTTGCTGCACATGGTGGTACACACCTGTAATGCTAGTACTTGGGAGGTAGAGGCAGGAGGATTCCAAGTTCAAGGCCAGCCTGGGCTACAAAGTGAGTTCTGGGTCAGCCTCAGCTACATAACAAGACTCTGTCTGAGGGAGAGATGGCCCAAACAATGTATGCACATATGAATAAGTGAATAAACAATAAAAAAAGGACTCTGTCTCAAAAAGGGGAAAAAAAAGTCTGAGCCTAACCTTTTAGAGTTGAGTGTGCCAGGAACCAGTACTTCCATTCTGAGTCCCTGGGAGGCTCTGTAGTCAGCCAGTTATGACCAAACGTTAAGTGTCCTAGTCAGTAGAGTGAGGACTGAGGCAGGGACAGGTCACAAAACCTGGGCAAATCTCAGAGTTCAATCCCCCCGTCTTCAGAGATGCAGCTCAGCTGCTTGTGTTTTATTCCTTTAATTTCTTTGTTTTCTAATTTTGTTTTCCTGCTATCTCTGTTGGTGGTGTATTCCCACATGGAGGAAGCTTATTAAAGCACTTTGTTGTAAGTGTGGCGGAGTATCTGTGCGCCTCCTCTCCTGGATCCCACAAAGCGCCATCATACTTTAATTGCTGTTATGAAGGCTGCTTTGTTTTTTAATTTCCCACTAGAAATATGGTAGCATTAACAAGTCAGATATTTCCTGATGACTGTCATAGGGGGCTTATTGATCTCTTACAAAAGCAGGTTAAGGTGTGTGGGGGAAGGGAATTTCTTTTTAGGGCGTCTCCATGGGATTCTATTTTTTTTTAGTTTTTTTTTCAAAACCAGTCTCAGCAAAGATAGACACTGTAGAATTCTGCAGAATCTACATCTTAAGAGACAGAAAAGGAAATGGTTATAAAAAAGCAACCCAATCACAAATTTATGTTCAAATGCTGGTTCTTCAACAAAGATGACCTAGTTCCCACTCTGTCCTATCGAGAAGCTTTCCTCACAATTTAGGAATGACACTGCAGGCACCCCAAGGAGATTTGTGATCAAAGCAATTTCACAAACTTCTTGGAGAAATGCTTAACCCTAGCCTTTCTGGTGTCCTGGGGCCCGCAGAGAACACTCACATCCGTGGACTGGTCCCCAGCGTAATGCCACATGTCATCCACCATGCTGGTGAGCAGGCTCAGGCTGGGTGGGATGTTGTGAGGGAGCAGGAGGATGCTGAGGGCCTAAGGAGAGAATGACAGAGGAACAGGTACCACATGCAGGTAACAATAGCACATAGGGGGTTCACAGAGTGTACAACAGGGATGGTCCCATTCGGGTTCTCTGAGACCTACCATCTCCACCCACCAGCGTAAGCTCCTGGCAGCTAACAATCCTACAGCTGATGAAAGCCAGGGGCACAACTGCATCCTAAAATGGCCCAATCAGATTTTCCATCCCTAACATTTGGATTTGGGAATTATGGATAGCAGAAAGGTCTAGCCTGGTCTAAGAGTCCTGAAAGCAAGGACAGGGGAGGGCACCCCATCCTTTCAGTTAGATGCAGAGGAGTGGGGAGGTCAAAAGTAGGGGAGTCTAGGGTGCTGAATCAGGAAGGTAGCCAATGGCCCCAACAATGTAGAATCAGAGCTTTAACACAAGGGCAGGACTGACTTGGCTATGACCTCTCACACCTAGCCTGGGGTTAGGCAAGCTGCAAGTGCTTGAATGTATGTCAGCTGGATGAAAAGCATCACATGTGCAACAGTGCTCCAACTGGAGGGAAGACACTGGCAGTTTGAACCTCTCATTTCTGATGTGCTTTAACTCTGTACTTTTCAACTCAGAGAATGGCCCACACTGTGACAGGCTTCGAAAGAGGAAAAAGGAAGCTTCAGAGAAAGGGAAGACAGCCCTTGGAATGCAATCTCCTTCCCCAAGCACCGCGCTGACAATATGACAAGAAGTCCTAGTTCTTGAGATCTGGAACACAACAGGCTAACTGAAGCAAAGATGGCCAATTAGATCTTCTGACTATGCTAATCTCTTTCATGGATTCTTTATTAAAGACCTGGTGGCATGTTCAGGCCACTGGGTCCACCCAGGATATGAACTAATATGCAGGCCACTCCCAAGTCTAAGAACTGAGACATAGATGGCTTGGAGCTGCTCTGTTGGTACTCCCAAGCTTGAAACCAGCTCTGCCAAGTGTATTAAGCCTTCCTGGGTTATGGAGGTTAGTGAGCTGACTTCTAAACTGTGCATAGTCCTCTGGGTGGAAGGTGCTGAGAATGAGAAATGTTAGTATTATTGTTGCTTTAGGGCCTGGATGTGGACTGTACCCGAGGCCAGTGCTCAATGTACGGGATCAGCATTCTCAGTCTGGTTTCCACTGCATCCCGCAGGAACTGGTCTGTCTTCCTCTTCCTGGAAGAGGAAAAAGAAAACAGTGTATCTCTGGGTACACTGCATACTCAGCTCTGGGAAAGAGGGTCTCTAGCTCCTGAGGGAAACCATCAGAACTGGCTGCTTGGCCATTATGCCACTTTCTTTTGACTCTACTTGGATTGGCTCCATTAGCCTGAGTCCCCCATCCTCGCTGCTGCCCTGAGCAATAATGCCATAGGACTTACTCTGCCTGGCCCAGCTGCACCAGCTTCTGCTCCTCTTCCAGAATGTGGGTAAGCTGAGCATTGCACTGCGTCACAAAGTGCAGGATCAGCTCACTGCCATCATCCCCAAACATGCTGGCTGCTGCACTGGAGAGTCCCAGAGACTATAGAAGGGAGGGAAGACACAGATGAGTGGTAGGCCAGTGCAGTGGATGCTAGTTGCCTGTTCATCATTAAGGCTTCTTCCCATAGCAGGGGCTTGATTTGCAGTGGGACCCCTACTCTTCACTTCTTGAACTCCTAAGTTTTCTTTGAAGCTAACAACCACCAGCTCTTCATACCCCACCAAGCATTTGGTGTGTGGGCAAAGCACAGCTCCAGGCTTGGATGATGAGCTTAGTGACTGGCTCAGAATGGGCAAGGGACCCAATGCAGGACTACTTTGGGACCCTCACCACTCATACTGAGGGGAAAGCCCTCAGTGTGGGCTGCCAAGTCATGTTTAGTCCCGTGGAAAGGCCCTGAGAAGGAAGCTCAGACAGGAGGCAGAGCAAAGCAGAGGTGGTGAGGAGCACAGCCTAGGAACACTGTGTCAGAGTTCCCTCCAAAGCTTTCTATAATTAAATGAGTAAAAACATTCCCCTTCTAGCATAGGTCAATTAGAATTAGGTTCTGGCACTGGAACCCTGGAACCTGGGATGGGGGTCTCAGGATTATAGGAATGAGTCACAAGCCCCCAACCCCCTTCCTTCCTCCTGTCTGTCTACCTCCTCTCCCTCTTCTCCCTTCCTTGTCTTTTTTGAAATAGGATCTTTTTATATAGTCCAGGCTGGACTTGAACTCATGATCATCCTGCCTCCACCTCTCAAGTGCTGGGATCTCAAGTGCACCAACACACCCACGCAAAACTTTTCTTAATGAGTTGTCAGGGGATTAACAAAGCCACAGAAACCCTACACTATTCCTGATCCATAGCAATCACTGAGCATCTACCAGAGGCAGAAACCTGACAGCAATAGGAGACAGCAGGACAGGAACAAAAATATATTAAACATGAACTCCTCCTGCTGAGAGGGGAAGCTATCTTTATGGAAGACAGTTTGGCACAAGGACAGAGCTGCAGCAGCACTGACACTAGGGTGACAGTAATGCTCACTGCAGGTTACACACATTGCACACAGTCTCTATGCACCTTCACGGCAGCTCTTCAGATACGTGTTAGCACCACCCACATTTTATATATGAGGAAATGGGGCTGAAAGCTCCTCCTCAGGAGGCAGGAGGATCCAGATCAAAGCCTGTCTGGGCTACACAGCAAGATCTGTTTCAAAACAGAGAGAGAAAAAGCTTTCATCCACAGGCTAATCACCTAATAGGCAGGCACGTATGCAACAAGAACATCAAAGATACATATACTCTCTGGGCCAGTTGTCATTGTCTCAGCTCTATACCTGCCCCTGCAGACTTGGACTGCAATGCACACCATTTGGCTAGCTACCTGTGGGTCCCCAGCGAGAGGATGAGGAAGGGACCTGAGATTCCTGGGAACAGTATCCCAGGAATGTCTCTCCACCCCGCCCTGGCAGCAGAACCCAGTCTGCAGTTTTCTCAATATTTGAAGCACTAGTTTCATCAAGCCACCATCCCTCCCAATTCTGCCCCAGGTGGGGTGGCAGTCCCAAAGGACTCCCCTTCAAGCATGGAAACACCTGCACCAGCTCTTGATTCCTCTCCACAGGGCCTCTCCTTCAAACCTAGTTTTAATCATTCCACATCTTCCATTTGTTCTCTTAGCGCTGGGACAGGGCTGCTTCTTGCAGTGCTACCTTCATAATATGGCAGTTTTTTGGGTTTTTTTTTTTTACTTCTTTGTTACCTGGTTACCAACTTTATATCTAGTCAGCAACTTTTTTTTTTCTTCTTTTTGGTGGGACTTGGGTTTTAACTCAGGGCTTCATACTTGCAAAGCAGGCATGTGTCTACTGCTTGAGACACACCTCCAGTCCATTTTGCTCTGGTTATTTTGGAGATGGGGGTCTTTCAAACTATTTGCCTGGGCTGGCTTCAAACCGAGATCCTCCTGAGTAGCTAGGATTACAGGCATGAGCCACTGGCACTTGGCTTTCCCTCTGTTCTATTAACTCCTGTGGTTGTTTTCTCCTGACTGAAACTTGAGTGATAGGGTCCCTGAAAGAGCAACTTCACTTCTTGAAATCTGTCCTTAAGAATTAATCAAAACTGTATACAAATATATTGTACAAACAGGCCTATGATATAAAAAAATTGGAAAAATCCAAATGTTTATCAACTGAAGTTGAGTAAACACAAGAGATAAGACACAGTCACTATGAAAGAAGACATTCAGTGAGAAAAGTCAGTTAACTGTCAAGATTATTCAGTTTAATCTGATTTTTCCAAACAATCCTGCTAACTTCTTTTTGTGGTATTGGGGTTTGAACTCAGGGCATCACACTTGCTAGGCAACCACTCTACCACTTGAGCCATGCCCTCCCCCCACAATCCTACTAATTTCTGTTCTCTACTTCTTTCACCACTTTCTGTAGTGTGAGCCTTCTCTACTCCTCAAATCTTTGTCTCCTCCCACCCTTTCCTAACCTCAAGTTCACAGGCAATCACAACTACTTCAGAGAAAACAGAAGCCATCCTCTGGGGACATTTAGTTTCTAAACCAAATGTGCAGCCTTCTTCTCCAACTCTACACCTATTTCACCTAAGGCCAGTCCTTCAGGTCTCGTTTCTCTTGCCTTCGAGGAGGCTCATGCTTTTGATTTTGCCTACCTTTTCTTGGACCTCCACCCTCGCTCATGTTTCTCTACTCTTCCCACGAGTGTTCAATCATGCTCAACCTTCCATCTTCTTCCTCTGGCTTGGCACGTTTCACAACCAAATGCTGCTCCTCTTCCTTACATTCTACTCAGCCTCAGCACACTGATTTGTGCAGCTAGACATCTCCAGCATGGGAATGTTCTAACTTTTTGATGGCTCGTCCTGTCCTACCTACCCCACCCTTAAATGTCAGTTTCTTTAGGGTTTGCACTCCTCTTACCAAATTACCCTTGCCTTGGGCAATCTCGCTGTGGCCAGTTTAGTTATGACATACATAAGGTATACCATCCAAAGGGGTATCACTAGTCCCATGATCTCCTCCAGTTCCATACCTGTATGCTAAACACCTCTATGTGTCTGACTCAAAGACTCCTACACAATAAAGATCAAGACTACTAATGACAAAACGAAGAAAAAGAAAAGACTATGCTAATGATCCTTCTCTAAACCTGCCCTCTTCCAGTGACCCAACTCAGAAAGTGACACTACCACATGCCACACATGCATACTTGAACTCTGGTGACGTCTTGCCACTCCCTCCTTTGTCCAATCTATAGTCAAGGTACCCACTAATGTCATCACTGCCACTGTTCTAAGCCAAACCATCTTATCTCTTCTGGTTAATTGGTGGCAGGTCCCGATGAGTCTTTCTGCCTACTATTCGCTTTCCCCTAGCAATACTAGGTAATGTCAATTTTAATCCTCTATCTCCATTTGTTCCTACAATAAAAGCCTAACTCCTTAGCACGACTTCAGGGTTGGCCTGATTTCACCTCCCCTGACTTTCCTCCATTGTACTCACCATCTTGCATCACTCTACTTGAAATTTCTCCCACTCTGCACACACTACTTCTCTATCTTGACTTGTCTGTCTCAGGCCTCCTCCCATACCAGATAAAGCCTGCTCCTTCCTCAGTTCTCAGTTCAAAAGCCCAAATTAGATCAGGTGTCTCCTCTGTATATCCCATTCAACCACTATATATTATTTGTCTTGACACATTTGAGAAGTACATATATCTGCATGTATTTGGTTAGTATTCTGGACACGGAAGTTCAACCAGGGCAGGAACTGTGTCTGTCATCACCAATGTCACGTCCTTAGGACCTGGCACAGTGCCTAGTGCACATTATTTAATCAAAAAATATTTAGAGAATGACTAGTACAGCTTTTTAAAAACATTTAAAGAGTAGGCATTGAAATGTTGATAGTAATACGCTAATAAAAAAGATGTCCATAAAAAATGAAATGTTGATAGTAGGATGTTTGGTGTGATTTTCTTTTTTTCTATGTGGTGCTGCAGATGGAACCCAGATAATTTATTCTTACATTCTTTTTTGTAGCTGTTTGTATTCAAAGTTTTTACAATGTCCATATCCAATGGAGCAAAGTTTACATAGTGGAGCAAAGTTTACACATTTGACTCATATGACCTCTGTTGAGAGACAGGGAGAGAAGACAAAAAAGTAAGTTTAATTTAAATTAAGGCAGCAAACTTGCCCTTTGTGCAAAATGTTCTGCAGCAAGCTCGGGCAGACAGACTTGACTATAATTCCCTCAATCTGTTCTCAGACACTTATCACAGGATGGTATCTGGCTACACTGGATGATTCTGGACAGTGGCCTACACAGAGCCTACTGCTTACTCTAAAGTAGCAGTCTGTTAAAAGCAGGAAGAAACACTCGTAGGTTATTCAGAGAAATACAGTGTGGTGGTCTCCAAAACCCTTATGGACTTTCAAACACCAAATCTCATTAATTCTAAAACACACATCTACTTTTTCATTTAGGAAAAAAATCTATGATTCATGGAATTTATGACACGTCATAGCTTAATAGGCAGCATTTTTTAAAATTGATGCATTAAAAAGAGTACTTTCTTTGAAGTATAGTAGTGTATACCTGTAACCTCAGCATTTGGGAGACTGAGATAGGAGAACTGAAAGTTCAAGGCCAGCCTGGGCTACCCAGTTAGACCCTATCTCAAATTAATTAATTAATTAATTAATTAATTAAAAATTTAAAAAATAAATAAATAATGCAGCTTCTTACAAACAGTGGCATCTTAGAGTGAATGAAATATGGCAGTTTTGATCACATTCTTGCCTAACAGGCTTCCTTAGAACATAACTCTCAAGAACCAACTCTGGGGCTGGTGGAGTGGGTGAAGTGGTAGAGCACCCGCCTAGCAAGTATGAGGCCCTGAGTTTAAACTCCAGTACCACCAAAAAATAAAAATAAAATAAAATAGGTGGGGCACCGGTGGTTCATGGCACCTATAATCCTAGCTACTCAGGAGGCAGGAACAAGAAGATCACAGTTGGAAGCCAGCCCCAAGCAAACAGTTTTTGAGACCCTATCTTGGAAATACGGGCATGATAGTGCATTGCCGTCATGAGTTCAAGGCCACCCTGTACTACATAGTGAGCCCATCTCATCCCCTACCACCCCCTAAAAAAGCCATTTCCATCAACGGAAAGAAAAAAATGCAGAAAATCCTGTGAGGAGATGTGAGCAGAGCTGGGAGGCCCTCTGCCTCATGACTACAGGCTGATTTGGGTCAGGTTGACATGGTTTCACCTATACACACCTTGGCTCCTTCAGCAATGGCTTCTGCCGTCCAGCCATGGGCAGGCACGAACTCTAGAGCTGCAGTCAGGATACGGTGCTGTAGTTGCTCCTCACTCTCATAGTCCTCCTCCTCCTCTCCACTCTGGTCTGTGTACCTGAGACACCAGGACAGAGCCCAGCATACTTCATCTCACAGTCCACTGCCTGGCTGCAAAATGAGCCCAACCGGAACCCAGAGGCCCTGGATTTCTCCTAAGCACGTATGAGAGGAAGTTCACTTCTCTGCAATATATCATCCTTCTCCTCCCACAGTCAGAGAAGAAATCTGGAAACTTGAAGGCTTGTTATGTGCAGGTGGTGCTCCTGCAGCAAGCACCCGGGGTTTCCTGCTTACAGGTTTTCTTCTTCCATGCCTGCCCCAGACCGTAACTCCATAGGGCAGAGCAATGGTTCTATTACTCACAGAGTGTGGCACATAGTAGAGCCTCAAAAAATATTTGTTGAGTTGAAATGAAAAGCACTTTAGTTAGGAAGCCAGAAAAAATGAGCACTCTAATTACACACTGAGGAACATTCGATTTCCAGTGGCAAGATTAAGAAGAAATACCAGATCCAATGGAAATGTAAATTATTATCTTTCTGGAAGGCAAGTGACCCCACAGATTTAACAAAACTTTAAACATACCTTTTTTTTTTTTTTTTTTTTTGTAGTGCTGGGGATTGAACCCAGGACCTTCCACTTGCTAGCCAAGCATTCTACCACTTTGAGCCATGCCCCCAGCCCTATAGGTGCAAATCTCTTGACTCAATGTTCCCACTTCTAAGGAGAAGCAAAGAAAATTTAATAGTCATCAATAAGATAGGTTAAGTAAAATTTGGTCCATTCATTGCCAGAAATGTTATACAACCACTGAAATAATGTCCACAGTGAAAGATGTTAAACATGTCCTGTTGAGTGAAAAAACAGGCTCTGGAACAGTGTGCAGAGTGTAACCAATCATTTACTATGTACATTTATGTATAAAATATGCTTACAGAAACATCAGCAAGGCAAAAATGTTATCAGAGTAATGTGAGTGTAATCGCAGGTAATTTTTGTTTTATTTTGTGAACTTCTCTGTATTATTTAGATGCCTTAGAAGGCAACAGGCACCATTTTTACAAAAACAATTGGTACTTTTCAAAGACAGCCTTAGAAAGGATGGCAGGTGGGGGCAGGGAGGAGAGATAAAGTGCAAGACAAACAGATAGATACCCAAGCATGCAAATGGCCAGAAGTGGCTGGATTGGAGTTCTGGTACCTACCTGGGGGATGGACGAGGAGACTCAGAATTGGGTTTTCCTGCCCCCTGTGCCTCAAAATGCTGCTGAGAAAAAGAGGGGGGAGGTTGCTGCTTCTGCTCTTCTGAAGACTTTAGTCCCACAGAAGCATGGAAGGCACGTGACACCAGCAGTGGTCGGCAGCGGGACACTGAAACAGAAACTGACCTGTCAGTCAGGGTTATTCACCAGAGAAGCCCCTTTGTGAACAGAGTGGCAATAAGAATGGAGAAAAGGAAAAACAGGGCAGAGACACCTTTCTAACCATTTATCCCAGGGTCCCCCGCAGAAACCTTGGGTAAATTGGAAACCTTGAGACATGATGTGGTGGCAAAAGTCATAAGTCATGAAACCGAAGACCTTCCTGGCTTCTTGGCCTGTTTCTGTGTGGCAATAGACAAACCATTTCCCTCAATATACAGATATTGATATCTGCCTATTTAAAGTAATAGTCTCCACTAGCTCAATGAGAATATTGTGAGGCCCAAACAAAAAGTTAAAGTGACTTGAAAAGGTTTCGCATTTATATGTCTGGAAGAGCACTGGAGGAAGAATTATTTTGAAACACCGTCTCGATATGTAGCCCAGGTTGGCCTGGAACTCTCAATTCTCCTGCCTCAGCCTCCCAAGTGCTGGGATTACAGAAGATTCTTTCCTTGACCAAACTCTAGTCAGATTCCTCTGAGCCATTTAGTAACTCAGCCTCACCTTGGCTTAAGCATACATTAATGCAGTTTCACTCAAGGCCTTAACACTAAGATGACTCTAACCCTCTGTAAAGTGTCTGCCTAAGAAAACTCAATGCTGTCAACAAGTTTTACTATTTGTTCCAGCCAGTACCAAGGGAAGACAGACTCCTAACTTCAGTAATGGGGCCTAACATTTCATTAACTCTTTGTCATTTATCAAATTCCTGATTCTACTAATCCCCTCTCCCTCATTCTTTTTCCAAAATGCCCAGTTACACCTCCATGAGATAGACTCTTCCTTTCTGAAATAGTTGATGTTATCCAACTATTAGCCAATCTATCCTTACAGCTGGGTGACGGTGGCTCTCACCTATAATCCTAGCTACTTGAGAGACAGAGATCAGGAGAATCATGGTTCAAAGCCAGCAGGGGCAAACAGTTCTTGAGACCCTTCTTGAAACACAAAAAAAGGCTGGTGGAGTGGCTCAAGTGGTACAGTGCCTGGAAAGTAAGTGTGAGGCCCCGAGTTCAAACACAGTATCACCTAAAACAAACCCTATCTTTACCATTTTAACCAGGGTCTTTGACAGTTCTTTAATTTTGTTGCCCAGTAGTATCCCAGTAAGAAACATAATTGCTTTGTTGATGGATAGCTGCTGTTTTAGTGCTCAACAATTTTAAATAAAGATGCCACAAATACAAATCTTTTTTGTAGACACATGCTTTCATTCCTTTTGGGTAAATACCTAAGAGTGGATGTGAGGCTACAGACATTACTTCTACTAAATATTTAATCTGGAGCTTTGAAGAAACACAACTAAAAGACACTCATTAAAAAAAAAAGTCTATACATCAGGGTGTGGTGTTACAGACCTATAATCCCAGCACTCAGGAGGCTGAAGTAGGAGGATCATGAATTTGAGGCCAGCTGGACTACATAGTGAGTTCCAAGCCAACACAGGCTACATAGTGAGACTCTGCCTCAAAAAAAAAAAAAAAAATCTATAGAATAACAGGGAACAATGATTTTTAAGGAGCTGGAGAGCTGGAGGCATGCTCCTGTCTAGTAAGTGAGAGGCCCTAAATTCAAATCCCAGTACTGCCAAAACAATCAGCACATGAAAAAGAAAACCAGAACAGCATTTATAAAAACATCAATATTTTGGTATATTATTTTAGTATAAATACAGCAGATATCTGTTAAACTCTGAAACAGTAGGAAAAGGTTCCACCGTATGACTGTGGAACTACTGCAGTTCATGAGAAATTTTGAGGTGAAACATAAGAAAATATGTCACTTGCTATATCCAGTCAATGCATCCCACATTGGGTGTAAGGTGACTTTGCTTTTCAATTTATATTAGTGTATAAAGTTTCCTCTTTTAATAAATGTGTGTTTTTAGAATAAGCAGATCCAGAAATAAAAATACTGAGCAAGACTGATCATGGTGGCTCACATCTGTAATCGAAGCAACATGGGAGGCAGAGATCTGGAGGATCGCGGTTTGAGGCCAGTTGGGGCAAAAAGTTAGTGAGACCCCATGTCAACAAACAAGCCCAGTGCTCGTGTACCCAGGTACGCGGGTGGTTCAGGTGGGAGGTTTAGGTAGGAGGATCGCGGTCTGAGGCCAGCCGGAGACCCTGCCTTAAAAATAACTAAAGCAAAATGGGTCGGGGGTGTGGCTCAAGTGGTAAAGCGCCTGCCTAGCAAGCGTGAGGTACGGAGTTCAAACCCCAGTATCACAAAAAAAAAAAAAAAAAGAAAGAAAGAAAAGAAAAGCCCTGAGCATAAGGCGACAAAGGTGGTAAGAGAGGGTCATGTCAAAATTAATGAAGTGGCGCGGAAATGATCGGTTTTGGGAAACAATGGACAGGACGCTCTGTGTGAAGCGTTCCCAGCAGTCCCTGGAGTGATGGCCAAAAACAGAGAATCGGTCTGCGATGGCCAGTTCTGCAACTCAAGAGCCCTGTGACCTTGGTGGCGCCCTTCTCTGAGGTTCCGTTAACCCTTGAAATGGGGATGACAGGCCTTGTCCCGCTGCTCAAGAACGGAGACCAAAGCCGGCCAATTAAACTCGCGACCCAGGTGGCTCAGTGTCCATGTCCTTCACCTCACCTTGCTAGCGAGCTGCCGCCACGACCTTTTCCGCCCCGCACCCGGCCCAGGCCGACAAGCAGCCCCTTCCCACATCTTCCCGGCTCCCGGGCTCGGCAGCCCCCTCACCAGGTAGGCACCGCAGCTGTAGAATCCTCCAGCCAGCCAGGCCCAAGACGCCAGACACCGCCGCCGCCATCTTGGAAGCGGGCACGTGTGCAGACGTCAACGACGCGACAGGTAGCGTCAGGGCGTCTGCGTGGCCGCTTCCGCCCTCTTGACGCGACGCAACTTCTTCTCGCGAGAGGAGGGAAACGAGAAGCCGGCGGCAGCGGAGAAGCACGTAACCTAGGCGGCAGGTGAGCACCCTCTTGGTTACCTGAGCGCTCGACCTTTTTCCCAAAGGTCCTCTCCCTGCCCACTCTCGTCCTGTATCCTCTCCTTGCCTATTGGCAGCCCAGTCTTTCGGTGGGAACGTAGCCACGCCGCCCCGCGGAGAGCCCCGACGGTCTTGTGCCTCGCGAAGCCTGTTGGAGGAGCCAGTCTGGCCCTAGCCCAGCTTGCCCCGGGCTTCTGACGCCGTGGCTCTCCGCCCTTTTGGCTGCCTCTTTTCTTGCTCAGCCTGCCCCGGACATTGCGCACCGAGAAGGGAAAACCCTGAACTGTTGTCCAGGACACCTGGGTCTGTACCTGGCTCTTCCCGTAAGCCTACTGTTGTGACCTTGGGTCTCAGTTTCTTCAAAGAGCCTGTCTCTTAGGGTGCCTAGCAACAAAGTACAAAGCTTGGGGGGACCTGAGCTCGCAGATTGTAAATTTGAGCTCATGACTTGTCTGAACGCCCACGGTCCTGAGTTTTTCCCAGATTTGGCCAGGTCGAACCGAATTGTCTAGCACGCTTGTTTATAAAACACCGAGGTCTTTGTCCTGGGTTGTTAACTCGATGTCTGAGTGTGGTCCAGGATTCATGCCCCGCGTGATCTGTAGGATCTGCAAGTTTGGGAAGGCCCGTGGATTTCTTCTGACCTTACAAAGTGCTCAGGCTCTGGATGGTGGCTCAAGGTGTGGTCACTAAATAAATGTGATGCCGAGTCCCTCACTGGGCTGTCATCAGAGAAAGCTGATGAAGAAATAAATGGTTTTTTGATTAGGAGTATTTGCAGGAACTTGTAATTCTGTAAAATTTTGTATGTTTGCAGTTAGACCCCCATCTTTTTTTATCTGTCAAAGTTATGTTTTTGCACACCCCTTTCAAAATTTTTTTTCCAGAAATCCTGATCTCCCCTGAATGGGTGTGGGAGAAGACCTAATCCAAAATTATCTCCAAATGTAAAAATTTCAGGTTCATATCTCTGGATTTAGATAAATAATTGATCGTTCAGTGGGGCTTTGTTTCTTGTTTGTTTTTTGAGACAGGATCTTGCTATGTAGCCCAAGCTGGCCTCAAATTCCTGATCTTTGAGCCTCAGCATCCTGAGTTCTGGGATTATAGGTGTGGAGACACCCAGTTTATTTTCTTTTTCTGTTTTTGAGATGGGGGTCTCACTGTGCTGCTCAGGTTGGCTTTGAACTTGTGGGCTCCAGTGACCTTTCTTGCCTCAGCCTCCCAAGTAGCTGAGACTACACTATGACTACAACACTGTGCCAGTAGGCTTTGTTTCTTAAGTTCTGTCCACCCATCTTGCCTTGAGAGAGGGTGTTTAATGTAGCCCAGGCTAACCTCGAGCTTAAAATCCTCCTGCCTTGGCCTCCCAAGGTGTTCTTTTTGCAGATGTGCCTCACTGTGTACGCCTGGCCTGTCTACCTATCTTTGAATGAGTCTTTCCTGTGTAAACTCTGGCATATCCTTTCTGAGATACTTGATTTGTGATGCACATACTCTATTTCTTTTTCTTGAGTTTCCTGTTTCCTTACTGATTTTCGCCTTTTTGTTTGTTTATTTATATCTTTACTTTTTTGGTACTAGGGATGGAATCCAGGGCCTTGTGCTTGCTAAGCATGTGTGCTCTACCACTAAGCTACTCACACCTTCAACCACTGTCTACTGAGTTTAAGGCTTAGTGTTGATCTTGCAGAAAGCCAGTCTTAAAGTGCATCTGGGTCCCACCCTACACAAGGTGGATGCAAAAGCCATTTTCCCAACAAAGACACTATTGGCATTTGAACAGGATAGTCCTCCTTGCAAGGTGATTTGTTTGGGTTGTCTGGTGCAGGGGATTGAACCCAAGGCCTCCTACACCTTAAGCAGTGCACTCTAGCTCTGAGCTACACTCCTAGCCTGATTCTCTTCTTTAAAAAAAGTGAAAAAAGTGCTGTGTGTGCATGGAACTTTGGTCAGTTAATTATAATGAAAATTTTCCTTTTAGATAATTAGCAATATTCTAGCAGTTTTTAAAAATTAATTAATTAATTTTTTTTTGCACCTGACTTAGAAGAATTCTGTCTTTAGCCATCTTGAAATCCAAACTTCAGTCTTATTTTTTTTCTTTTGGCCACTTTCCTAAAAGGGATCACGTCTCAAGATTTGATGCTTACTGGGTACTGAAAAAATAAACAAGAATATTTCCAGAAGTTATTCTTAGACTTTTGCTTTTACATCCTGCCAGTAACATTTTAAAAGATCCATGGGTATGTGAATTGGAGATGTAGCAAACAAGGTTAATGACATGACTGCAACTTCTATTCTTTTTAGTTGTAAAACTGGGCCCTGAGTCACAGCTCCTAAGTGTATTGGCTTGGGTGTAGATATTTTTTCCTGGTGGGCAATTCCTTTTTTTTTTAGACAGACACAATAATAACACAAAACTCTGAACTCCTTCTTGCCATAAGATTAGTTTGTGGCGGTATGAAAAGTAGGGCATTTTATTGACATTCTTATAATTTACTGACACAGCCCACAGGAGTACTTTCTCAGGTATCATAAAGTGTAGCTCTCATACTGTGCAGTTCTAATAGTGAAAAAAGCATAGCTTAGCTCCATGGGGAGTTGTCTTGGGAAGCATGGCTGAGAAGGAAGGAAAAGGTTTTATAGGACTGTTACAAGCAAAGGCAAATAATCCAGCCACAGAGAAGTGGAAGCCCAGAGTTCTGAGAACATTTTTCTGTTGAGCTCAGTATACTAGCTCCTGCTGAGTACTTTATATATTTTATTTTCTCATTTCTTACAGAAGCCTTGCAAGATATGAGGTTGTGTAACTCAGCTAATAACTTATGGACATGCACCTACTGAGAAGACCCAGAGTCATTTATTTCTTAGAACTCACTGCCCAGCAGTCATTCCTGTCCTCCCTGAGTGGTTCTTTACATGTGAGCTTAAGGACTGGGGCATGGCTCAAGTGGTAGAATGCAAGTCAAGGCTCTGAGTTCAAACCTCAGTATGACCAAAGGGAAAAAAAGTGAGGTTGGTTCTGAGTTACTTGTCCTGAAGATTTGCAAGAGTTCTTCCTCAACATCATGTGACAAGTAAAAGCTTAAAAGTTTTAGTTGTTGATGCTGTGTTTTTAGGAATTTAAAACCCAAAATTAAATGACTAAGAAATCCTGCCTGTCTGATAATACTTGGCATCCTCACCCTGGGGTTTAGAGCTGAGTCAGGATAACAAGATGGACTTTCCTCTGAAGAAACTAAAAGGCAGAATAGAATGAAGATGCAAAGGTTTCTCACAGAATAAAGAGAGACTCACTTAGGCATGGTGGAGCCCTGAATCTAGCAGGGTAAGGCACTCTGATTTTGCTCTAGAAATAAAAACTGGCAGTAACTCATTCTGAAATGAGTAACAAAGTCAAGACCGTAGTAACGCAGGGTGACTGGTTTGTAGATAGAAGAGACAGTCATCCAAGTGAATGCTTTTTGTACAGGAAGAGTGCAGTGGACATGGCCTAAATTAAACCCCAGAATGTCTGGTGGCATAATTGTCAACTGAAGTTGCCACTTCTGCCTTTGTTTCTTTTATTTGAGCTTTTTTAAGTCAGAGGCTTGGTGTCATTAATGTTTAAGGAAGGGAGAGCTGAACAGAGTGCTATCTCTTGACCTCATTTCATGGTCAGCACCTCATCTCAGCTGCCTGTCAAGTAGGAGATAAAGCTGACTCTTGCAGGGAAGTTTCCATGGTTATTGCGTGGGCTCTACATTCAGATTGATTTGGATTCAAACCCCAGCCCTTTATTCACACAGCACTTAACAGCTTGTGTGACTTGCACAGTGTTAGCTGCCTTGTTTCCCATCTGTAAACTGGAATAACATGTAGTGTAAAGCTGGTCTGTGGGATAAAGCTGTCTATTGAGATAATGTGTGTAAGATGTGTGAATAGTCTGGGCTAACTTAAATGGTGAAAACATAATAGATACCATCAATCATTGTACATTCAATGGAATTGAATTTTCATATTTTGATGATAGGGAAAATATCAAAATTTAAGTGTATTGTCTCTTTTTTAAAAACACTAAGCTGAGGTTTGGTTATGTCTATCAATTTACCTCCTTTGCTGAGTCACACTTCTGCCTAATTAATGCCCTTTGTTTTTATGTCTGCTCAAAGAGAAAATAATCTTTCTGCCTCCAACCTCTTTATTTGACTCTACCCACTTTTCTTGACTCTGCCCTGTCAGGAGTCTCCACAACAGCTTTGTCTGGTAATGCTGGGATTATGAAGTGGTGAGGAGGTTTCATTTATTCAGACTCGAGCATCTACACTAAGATTGTGATGTCAGCATTCCTTGGTGTAATGATTCTAATCGTATCTGGGTAGATAGTCCACGGATTCAGTTGCTCTGTTGTCTCTCCTCAGTCTTTGTTCCCTCTTACCCATTGCTTTTAGGTCCGTCAGCACTGCACGATGGCAGACTTTGGGATCTCAGCTGGCCAGGTCGTTGCAGTGGTCTGGGACCAGTCATCCCCAGTGGAGGTCCTGAAAGATATGGTGGATAAACTTCAAGTGCTAACTGGCAGTGAGGGCCGAGTGTCTGTGGAAAACATCAACCAGCTGCTGCAGTGTAAGTCCCCACCCTCATCGTCTTCACAGGTTTGGAGGGGTTTTGATGGGAGCTTTGTGCCTTCAGTGCCTTCATCTCTGTTTTAGTTTCAAGTGGCACAGGAAAGCAGTCTTGGTCACCCTGTTGTCTTTCAGTTGAGGTATAGTGGACTTAGGAGTGTAATTGATTTCTGTATGTTCTTGTTCCTTTTTAAAAACAAAACAAAACAAAAAAAACTACTCTTCTTCCAGCTTCCTTTTCCCTTCTTTCCCTGATCATATGAAAAAATATAAAATAAGTAAGTCAGAGAGATCAGAGCAGAGCCTTCCTGGCGCTTTGCTAGCAATGGTGGTTTAACAGTGCTATCAACCAGGTTGGGGCTTATTCTCCTGGGGTGAGGCCTGTTGCCTTCTTGGGGATTTGGGGTTGTTAGGAGATTGTTTCTTGGCTTAGGTGATTGCTGATGAGAGTCTTCCTTCTTTTCAGCTGCCCACAAGGAATCCACCTTCGATGTTATTTTGTCAGGAGTAGTCCCAGGAAGCACTGCTCTGCATAGTGCTGAGGTTCTGGCTGAGATGGCCCGGATCCTTCGGCCTGGAGGTTGTCTTTTTCTGAAAGAACCAGTAGAGACCGATATAGGTAAGCCATCTTCCTTGAAAGACCAGAGTTTGACAAGGTTTGGGCTTACTACATTTCTCTGAGCCAGAGATATTGTAGGAACAATAAGTTATTATCAAAATCTGAAACAATAGAACTAAAGAAATTGTGGTCTTTAGTTGACTCATTAGGTAGGAAAGTAGAAAGAAACTACTGCCTAAAAAATGGTGGAGTCATTCAACAGGTAAAAGTTAAACTTTGACATATCCATAACATGGAAAATGATGCAGCAATATAAAGGAGCATACTTAGCCAGGTGTGGTGGCCCGTGCCTGTAATCTTAACTGCTAGAGAGGCAGAGATAGGATCACTTTAAGGCCTGGCTGGGCAAAAAGTTAGTGAGACACCATCTCACTCAATTAAACTTGGGTGCATGGGCCAGGGGGGAGGCTCAAGTGGTAGAGAACTGGCAAGTGTGAGGCCCTGAGTTCAAACCCTAGTACTGCCAAAAAAACAAAATACAGAAATGCTTGGCCCAGTGGCAGGCAGATCATGATCCAGGCCAGCCTGGGCATTAAACAGCAATAAAAAAAAGTGAGATCCTATCTCAAAAATACCAAAGCAAAAAAATAAATAAAAAATAAGAACAGAGCAAACTTAGCAGGGCAAGGTGGCACACACCTGTAATCCTAGCTCTTGGAAGGGTAGATCTCAAGAGAAGTGTACAGAGAGAAAAAAGCCATTCTCAAAATGTTCCATGCTGAGATGGCCATGGTGGCACATGTGTAATCACAGCACTATGGAGGTAGAGGCAGGAGGACGGGGAGTTCAAGACTGGCTGTGCTACATGCTACATAGAGAGACCCTGTCTCAAAAAGGTTCTATGCTATATAATTCTTTTTTTTTCCCCCCAGTACTGGAGTTTGAACTCTGGGCCTCAAACTTGCTAGGCAGGCACTCTACTACTTGAGCCATTCTGCCAGCCCCTTTTTGTGCTGGATATTTTTGAGATAGGGTTTCACATTCACGTTTGCCTGGGCTGGCTTTGAATCACAGTCGTCCTGATCTTTGCTCCCTAAGTAGCTGGGATTACAGGTGTGCTCCACCAGCACCCAGCTTATCATTTTCTTAAAATAACAGAATTACGGCAACAGAAATCAGATTAGTGATTGCCAGGGGCTAGAGGAGGTGTGTATGGCTATAAAGGGGTAGTATTCAATTTCCTGATCTTCACATTGTGGGAGATGTTTGTTACGTGAGGGAAAATGAGATGAAGGATGTATGGACCTCCCTGAATTCCCAGGTTCCTGTGAATCTATAGTTATTTCAAAATAAAGAGCTTAATAATAACAGCTAGAAGTCTTGAGAGTGAAGAGGTAATTCTTGACTCATTAAACTAATGACAGTGTCCAAGAGATTAAAAACCTCTTTTTTGTTTAGCAGTGTAGCTGTCAGAGTCATTCAGTTCTGGATTGTTAGCACTAGACTTTGATTCAAAATGTGACTGTTTTGCTGGGTGTGGTGATGCATTCCTGTAATTCCAGCACCTGCAAGGCTGAGGCAGGAAGATCTAGAGTTTGAGGCCAGCCCAGGCAAAAGTTAGCAAGACCCATCTTAACAAACAAGCTGGGCAGGGTAGTTTGCATCTGTGACCCCAGCTAAGATGGAGGATTGTGGGCTAGACTGGGCCAGGCAAAAATCAATACCCTATCCAAAAAAAAAAATCAAAAAAGCCTGGAAGTATGGCTCAAATGGGAAGATGCTTGCCTAGGAAGGTCAAGGCCTTGAGTTCAAACGCCATTGCCACCAAAAAAAGTGGCTGACTGTATTTCATGAAACAAAATGATAAAAAGGAATGTGTTCTGAAGTAAATAAAAGCATTCATTATTTATTTGAAACTATGACCTCATGATGTATACAATAGACATTGGCATTCTTTGCTAGAAACTTAAGCCTTGGGTCACTAAGTACATTGTCTCTGGCAGAATTTTATAGAAAGAATACTTGTATTTCTGTGCATTTTGCAGTTTATAACATTCATTGTTTCCAAACAGCAGAGTGATAAGAAACAATAATAATGGGATTATAATATTTACCAGCATAGGTGAGAGCCCTTTCAACAAAAAGATTTTCAAGTTAAATTAAAATACTATCGCTGAACTAAATATGCATTAGACAGGTTATGTTATTGTTGGAATGCCTGCTGACCCACTCAGGTTAGAGCCTCTATTGTTTTTCCTGCTTTGACCTGGGAAGCTATTAATTGGGATTCTCTCTTGGCAGTTAACAACAAAGTGAAGACAGCACCTAAACTGTGTTCAGCCCTGACTCTTTCTGGCCTCGTGGAAGTAAAAGAGGTACGTGCATAGATGGCTTTTCTTTGCTGGGAATTTAGACATTGGGTGACCAAACCAGGAGGCTGCTTGTCAGACAGGAGGAGGGGAGGAGAGAGGAGGAAGAGGTGACCAGTGTTGCTCAGAAGTAGGAAACAAGTTGACACTTGCCATCCAGGAGAAGTATGTGATGCCTCCAAGAAGAAACCTGAAGTAGATCTCCCTTAGAGAGGCAGCTGGGTCTGTGGGCGTGGCTTGATCTGGTCTCTCATGTACTTACTTAGTGGTGGTGGTGGCTGTGTTTTCAAGGGAGAGCAGAGAGCAGGTGCCCTGCTGCTTCCGTTCATCTTTGTATACACAGATCCTAGGTCTGGGTTAAACAGTTGTCTAGACCAACCTTCTGCTTGTGATGGGAGGCTGGAATAAGTTGGGGGAGAACTGCATTTCTGACAATTCAGTAGAGACATTCAAATTAAACAGGTGTTTCTATTTTAGATTCTTTAAGCCTACCCTTATTTTTTCTAAAAGTGTAAGATTTTTTTTGTTCTTGATTCTAAAATAAGGAGTGCTCATAAAAATTCTATTAAGAATATAGAAAATAAGTGGTGATGTCTCAGTCCTTGTCACACTCCCCAACCCCCCAACCCGTCCGAAGCCATTTTTGTATGACTTCTCAGAATTTTTTTCCTATGTGTTTACCACCATATGTGTGCACGTTTCTTTCTTTCTTTTTTTTTCTTTTCAGATAGTGTCTCACTATACAGCACAGGTTGGCCTGGAACTCTGAATCCTCCTACCCCAAAACCTCCTGAATGCTAGAATTATAGGTGTGTGCCACTTCGCCCAGCTACGTACTTCTTTTTTTAATGTAAATAAGATCATATGTCTACATTGTTCAGTTACTAGCCTTTTTTTTCCATCCTTAGATAGTTTCAGTTTCTTACCCGCTTTAGTATATTTCTTCTCATTTTTATTAACGATGTAGCAGGCTATAGACTGGTTTATTTAGCCATTCAGTAATTGTTGGACATGGAGTTGGCACCTGCCTTTACTCTCTGCTACTTCTTCCCAGGGAACATAGGAAGGATTTCCCTCCCCTTCTCTCTCAGGGTAAAAGTTCCATGACTGCCTTCACTGTGAGCATGCTCCTCTGTTATTCAGCAGGACCCTGTCTGATTGATTCTGTAATCATAATCATTATGGTACCATAGTACCTTGTACCTAATATTTTATAAGTGTTTGAAAACTTTCAAAGGGTAGGTTCAAAGCAAACATTCTGACAAAATTAGACCCTAGGGTCTAATTCATGAAATGACATGTGTTACCTTCTGCTATCGTATACTTAATATACAGTGATGAGTGTTAACTCTACCCAGGGGACACAGCAAAACATCTGTTGGCAGGAGTGTGGACTGATTCCTTGGATGTCTTGAATTGCAGCTGCAGCGGGAATCCTTAAGCCCTGAGGAGATGCAGTCAGCGCAGGAGCACTTGGGCTGTAGCAGTAATGGCCTGCTCTGTGTTCAAATCACAGGCAAAAAGCCCAACTTCGAAGTGGGTTCTTCCAGTCAGCTTAGGCTTTCCATCACCAAGAAGCCTTCTCCTCCAGGTAAGGCTGACCTGGGGACATTCCATGTGAAAGGGCCTGGGGGGAAATGTTAGGAATTGAGCCGGTGATCTAAATATTTTTAGAGGATTAGTCCTTTAATTTCTGTCATTTTCATGGGCATGTTATTATCCAAACCTGAAATAGTACATAGTACAGCCCCTCTTATGAACCAGGGGACACATAGGCTGCCTTATCCTGGAGGTCTGAGTCATGGGTTTAGTTGATAAAGTCAGCTAGAAGACCTTGAGGCCATGGTGATACAGAGAAGGGGCCCTCTGCCTTTTACCAGGACTTTTCCTATGCCTATAAAGTCAGCTTTTTAACATTGTTTTTTTGTCAGAGCTGTAGTCACAGAACTTTGTCTGATTTAGGTGAAACATCATCTAGACTAGATCCTCTATTTAAAAATTTTTAAAAACCCAAAAAACTATATCTCTCCTGCCCAGAGAATTATGTGCACAAAACTTTGCTGCAGCTGTTGTCTTGCCTGTCACTCACTGTCCTTTAAAGCCTGATTTATGTCCCAGTTGTGAGGAATGCAAACATGTACAGATATTTACTGGCACATCCACACTGCACCGTTTTGACTGTGTCCAGCCTAAATCTTCAGGAAACATGTTGGGATCTAACCTTTGGATTCATGGTTCCAAAAGGGTGGGAGCCTTCTGCATGAGCAGTTGGCCCTGTGGGAGTTCTAAACATCCATTGTGACAGCGATCATTGGGGCCGGGGAGGGGGGTGGTGTTAGTGCACTTGTCTAAAGCCCTTTGAGGATTAACCCACGCTGAATCCCCAGCCTCAGCTGTCTCAGGTCTATCCTTATATTCTCCTCACCTGGACAGAAAATCAGAGCCAGGCACTTGTGGCTCACATGTGTAATCTTAGCTACTCAGGAAGCAGAGATCAGGAGGATTGAGGTTCAAAACCAGCCCAGGCAAATATTTGTGAGACCCTATCTTGAAAATACCTAACACAAAAAGGGCTGGTGGAATGGCTCAAGGTGTAGGCTCTGAATTCAAGCCCTGGTACTGCAAAAAAAGAAAAGAAAGAAAGAAAGAAAGTCAGGAAGTGTGAGGTATGTCTGCTGTTACCTGGCCACCAGCAGCTCTAGAGCCTGTATTCTTATATAATAGGTTTAGGTGAGGCTAAAATTTTACGATTTATGAAGTCCTTGACACATTTCTTATTTAATCCTCAAAATGCCTATAGAAGGTAGAGGAAGTGCTATTTGGCCTGTGTTATAGGAATAGAAACTCAGATAACAGGAAGCAATGTAGAACATAGGCTAAAAACACTAGACAGACTTATACTTGTGGCTTTATCTAACATGCCTAAGTGTCTAAGCCTGTTTTAACACGCAGGTGTAAAATTAGAATGACAAGTACCTTGCAGTTGCTCCAGAATTAAGTTAGCTAAGGTGTATGAAGTGCTGGTGCAGTGCCTGGTGCAAAGCAAGTGCTTAGTAAATGGAGACATCGGTTAGTGTGATAAGGGGGCCAGGACTGTCTACAGTCTCCCCAGAAAGTATGATGGGTACTTGTAGTTTTTTCTGACTGTTGTTACAGAGCTTCTTTTCTTTTATTGTTGGACTCAGTGAAACCTGCTGTGGACCCTGCCACCGCCAAGCTCTGGACCCTCTCAGCCAGTGCCATGGAGGACGAGGGCATGGTGAGTTGGCACTGGATATTTTCACGCTCCCTTCCAGGCCCAGGCAATAGCCGTGCACAGCCATAGACCAGAGGCCTTTCAGACTTGAGTTGTAAATCTGTTTAAAGCTCAGCAGTGTGGCTGTGCCTGTCACTGGTGTCTTTGATTTAGAAGGACACTTTATGTTGGTGACATTTCAGATTTTTTTTTAGTATTTCTTTTCTCTACAGATTTGTTCTCACTTTACATGACATGTTAAAGACTCTTGTGAACATATGTGAACCAGAAAAGAGTGTCAGCTCAAATGTGTTTATTGACCCCTTCCTCTGGGAGGGTCACTGAAGGCTCACCATCAAAGGCAGTGCTTTCTGTCCTCTATCAGCCCTGTCTGTAGTAAAGTTCTTTTCTATACCTCTGCAGCACTAAGGATAGAGTAGGAAGCAAAACAGGCCATGGTTCCTGCTCACAGACTACAGACCCATTGTCCACACATTTACAAAGAATGGCACACATGTGTATCATTATTTTTTTCTCTGAAGTTTTGTAGAAAATATTTCACTCCTTTTCCACATGACTCTTTCTGTACTCAGTATAATACTTCTCTCTTTGTTACACCTTTGCCCCTCCCCGCCCAGGAATATATTTTCTGCACAGCCCTTGCCAGTTTTAGAGCTCTCTCTCATGTAAATCACTTCCCAGCTCCCTTACATCCTTGCACATCTCCTGTGGACTATTAACCTCTGAACCCAGAGCAGCTCAGATTGGCACCTTCTTTACCCAGGACCCTGTGCTTTTGTTCTCATAGCCTGTGGTCATCTCAGCTTTCTAGTAAAGAGACCATGACTGTGTCACTAACTGCTTTGAACACTCTCCAGGATCTCATTGACTCGGATGAGCTGCTGGATCCAGAAGATTTGAAAAAGCCTGATCCTGCATCTCTGAGGGCTCCTTCATGTGGGGATGGGAAAAAGAGGAAGGCCTGCAAGAACTGGTAAGTGTCAGGATGAGCAGGGCGCCTGTGTGTGACTCTCCAAACAGTCACTTACTTCCTCGCAAGGAACTGCCCCTGTGAGGGAAAGCCCAGGTTCATGTATTACTGGAAGGCTCCCAGGAACAGGTAGCTGAGCAAGCTCTTTGGTCCTGGTTTGCTCTCAGCTTTGTGGAGAATCTACAAAAGCCCCTTCCAGGGAACTTAGTAGGAAGAGTGTTTGGAGGGAACAAAGGGTACCCTGCAGTTAGGATGGCAGCCACTGTTGTAGAGAGATGCAGGTAGTAAACGGGAATTAGAGAGCCCTCAGCTCACCAGAGCCAAGCTCTGCTCTCTGGAGCAGGTCAGTGCAGAAGTGAGTGCCTTCAGCTGACCCAGCCTCAGTGTGGAGGGGAAAGTACTAGCACTGTAGCTGAGGTGAGCCAAGGACAGCAGCTGGGCTGGCTTGCCTGGCCTTGGGTAAAATGATGGCATGATATACCACAGGGATTGTGATGATGACAGCCTTCAACAGGTCCAGCTCGCATATGACTGCGTCTCAGAGCTGACACATTGGCATCTCTTTCCCCTCTGTCTCATGGTAGCTTTTGTTTCCTGTAATCCATGTTGGTTTCTTGTGTGGTGGAACAAATTTTCCAGTAGCTTTTTTAGAAAAGCTGCTTGGGAGATAAGTTTTGCTTTTTGATTTTTTTGTTTGTTTTGTTTTTAGACCTTGTTTTTGTTTGTTTGTTTTTTTTGTGGTACTGGAGCTTAAACTCAGGGCCTACACCTTGAGCCACTCCACCAGCCCTTTTTTGTGCCAGGTTTTTTCCATATAATGTCTCATGAACTATTTGCCCAGGCTGGTTTCAAACTATAATCCTCTGATCTCTGCCTCCAGAGTAGCTAGGATTACAGGCGTGAGCCACGGACACCTGGCTTTTTTTAGACTTTTGTATGTGTGAAAATATCTTCCTTCTCCTGAAATTGACTGGTAATGTGGATGTAGAGATTAGGGTGGAAATCATTTTTCATGTGGTTTTGGAGATGATTCTGTTTTCTTTCTTCCAAGGGTTCTGATAAGATAGCTGAGGTCAGATAACTTTGATCCTTTCCATGAGATGTCTTTTTCCATTTTGGAAACTTGTGGAACTTTCTTTTCCCTGGTATCATTTTGTAATCTTTCACACTAACCACCCAGCGCATCTTTTTAGTCTACAAAGCCATGCCTGTGGTCTTGGGAAATATTTTTTAATTTTGTTTGTAAGTTTTGTCTTTGAATAACCTGTGGCTCAAATGTTGCACATCTTTGCTTTTATAATTTTCTATTATTCCCTTGAGCCTTTTTCTGGAAGATTTTTTTCATTTACTCTCCAAAACCTCTGTTATTTTATTCCTACTATTATGTTTTTTAGTATCTAAATTTCCTTTTTTTTTCTTGCCTTTAAAAAACAAAAAGTGTCCTGTTTTCTCTTTTCAGGATATTAAGAGATCTAAGTTTTTCCTCCCTGCTTGGTCTCTGTTTCTTCAAGTTGCCTCTTTGCTTTCTTGAGACAGGATCTCCAGAGTCTAGAACCACAGTCCTCCTGCCTCTGTCTCCCAGGTGCTGGAATTACAGGCTTGTGCCACTATGCCTGCTTGTCGTCTCTGTTAGGGGCATTTTAAGGCACTTGAGGACCCCTGCCTTCTTCATGATTAAAAGTGGGGGACAAAAGCTGAGTGTCTAGGTAGATTTGTTTGTTGGTTGTTGCATTGAAGGGAAGCTGGGCAGGCCTTGTGGGGAGCCCCATACTCGGGATCTGTGCATCTTTCTGCTTAGATTGGTTGGGGTTCTCTGAGAAGGTCTCCTGGTTCTGCCTCCTGAGGTTTTGAGGTATTGTAGGAGTAATGCCCCATCTGTTAAGTGGGTTTTCCTCCCTCCGCATGTCCTAGGTTTCCAGTATGCAGCACTGCCTCTTCCATTCCAGTGGCTCTGGCTGCCTGGGCTTGTGTCTGTGCTGAAGTTTTGGGGTTTTGAGGGAAAGTGAAGTTGCACGGGCCTCCTGCAGTCTGTTCTTAACCTGGGTGGCTGGGTTGGGTGTTTTACATTTGTTTTATCAGTGGGTGAAAGAATGGTAAAATGTTGACTGGTGTTTTTGGTTGGTTTTATTTTTGGAGATAGTCTCACCATGTAGCAGCTCACGGGTATGCCCTACCACGCCCAGCTTGGGCATGTTTTTAAGTGTGCAAGTTGCCAACACTTACAAATCAGGAGGGTTCGAGTAAAACTCCATATTGTTTTCTCTTCTGACAAGCTGGGTCTGCTGCCCACGAGGGTAGTCAGTGAAGCTGAGTCATGGTTGCCCTCTGTAGGCAGGGTGTCTGCTCTGGCTCTCTCAGCCACCCCACTTAACTGCCTCCCAGCAACCTCACCCCTGATGTTGTCTACCTGGCCCCATGGCATCTGTCTTGACACCCTGGTAAAGAGCACATTTTGGTACTGTTAGGGATTTGGAGTTTCTGGGGTGACAAATCTCACTTAACTACTGATCCCCCCAGCACCTGTGGCCTTGCAGAAGAGCTGGAAAAGGAGAAGTCAAAGGGCCAGAGCTCCCAGCCCAAGTCAGCCTGTGGAAATGTAAGTGCTGAGCTCAGATGAGCTCCACGGCTCAGGGATTTGCTGTCCACGCATTGTTCTGTGGGCAGTGGGAGGACGGGTAGAGGTGGTAATGAGGAAGGGGCTCTCGCTGAAGGTTGAAGGGAGGGCTCATATCTTATTTTTTGCCCCTCTGTCTCCACATCAGAGTGGCCTGATGTTACTCAGCCATCTGAGCTTGGGCTGCGATTTGAACTGCTCAGAATATAGACAGGTGGCCTTTTAAGGAACTTATGTATTACTTTTCATGACACCATAGGGTTTTGTTTTGACTCAGTCTTGGCAACACTGGGGTTCAAACCCAGCTTTGTTTTGGATGGGATTTTGCTAACTTCTTGTCCTGGCTAGCCTTGAGCCACAGTCTTCTCCATCTCTGCCTCCCAATAGTTGGGATTACTGGCATGAACCACCACACCCGGCCTGAAACCAGAGATCTTGGAAACTAGTATTTGCGTTCCAAGTGAACTACAGATGCACCCAGATGTTCCTTTTGGCCCTGGCTTCTCCATGACTGCCTGTTTTCTTTCCCCAGTGCTACCTGGGCGATGCCTTCCGCTGTGCCAGCTGCCCCTACCTCGGGATGCCAGCCTTCAAACCCGGGGAGCAGGTGCTCCTGAGCAACAGCAACCTTCACGATGACTAGGGTCCCCACAGGACACAGCTTCTCCTCCGCCAACTCCTGTCCCTCCCATCCTGCCCAGCACTGTGGCTCCTTCACCGCCTGGGTTCCTCTCTCTGTGAAATTATTTACAGGGAGGGCACTGCAGTGCTGTATAGTGCTGCTGTGTGTCAGCAGACCACAGCCCAACAACAGGGGCCTGCTTTCTCACCCCACACACAGATAGGAGGAGAGCTGTGCCCTGAAGAATCCCCTCGTGAAGTTCTGATGCTGTGACAAGCTCCAGGCTCTCCTCTGGCCTGAGCTCAATAATGCTGCTGCTGACCCAGCTTCCCAGGTGCTGGTTCACTCACTGCACTTGGTGCCATGAGCCAGCCATCTCATGGCCTCAGCACCAAAGGAGTCACTCGCCGGTTCCTGTGGTCCGCCCTTGTCCCTGTCTCCAACCTCACCCCATTCCACTGTAGTGTCTGTGTCCTGTCATCCTTTCTGTAGGCCAATAAGTATTAAACTTATCTTTTCACGTGGCGTCCGTCAGTCATCCGCACTTAGCTTGGACCAGGAAAGTTTCTTTTTGTCGCACGCGGGTAAGGGGGTGCCCTTGTGGAGTAGGCCTTTGCATCTTCTGTAGAAGAGTGCAGGTTGATAAGAACTTGGGGAGAAGCAGGATATACTGAAGCAACAGTGATTCTGAGCAGGAAACCCCCCTGTTCTCAATGCCCAACCACACAGTCCTGGAATCCATCTCACCAAGTCTTTGGAAAGATGTGTGGACTTAGGAAACCTGGATTTTTATATTTTACCAAGAAATAAAAGTATTGATTGGTATCTCTCCCTGAGCCTTGCTTTGAATCTCAGCTTACTTCTTACACTGGTCCCTGGCACTGGGTTTAGAGGTGTGACTAAAAGTCCCAGTGGGAGGCAGAGTTCCCAGTGGCCTCCTCCAGATCGAGCAAGACCTGTGAGGGCCAGTTCTGGTATTGGGGAGGTTCTGTGGCAAAAGTGTAGGGATTTTGCAGGTGTAATTAAAGTCCCTGGTGGAGTTAGATTAAGAGGAAGGTTAACCTGAAAGCCTGACCTCACTGCAAGGCCAGTCAGTTGATCCTGTAGAGACTGGAGAACAAAGAGCTTTTCTTGCTAGCTGGGCAGAAGTTGCCAAGTTGTGAAGTTCCACACAAGAAAATGCAGGTTCAGGACATCCCCCAGCACACAGTCATGGAGAACTCAGGCCTGCAACAGCAGGAAGCTATGTTCTGCCAGCACCACATGACCTTGAAGAGGACCTGCCTGGGTTCCAGAGAGTACCACCTAGTGAGATCCAAGTGGATCCACAGAAACCGAGGTCGTAGAGTGGGGAATGCAGCTCAGTAGTAAAGCACTTGCCTAGTGTGTATGAGGCCCTCAGTTCAACCCCCAGCACCCCACAAATAGATAAAATCCACACTTGTCTCGTGCCAGAGCAATTGAACAAGAAAGCCAGATAATCATGGGTGTGTCAAGTAGCTAAATGGTGATTTGTACCCAGAAACCAACAGCCTCAGAATGGTTTGGCATTGTCATAATTATTGAGCCAACAGCTATTGGTTGTTTCTGCGCAGCTGCAAAGGTGAGCAAACATCAACCTCCTGGTTGAGGACGAGGACATGCTCCTGGGCTAGGTAGTTACCACAATTTTTCCTGATTGTTGAGTCCCTGCTGTTGCTGGCAAAAAGGATGACACTAGAGTTGGTGTGGTTAAGGGGATCCCGTTGGCAGCTGAGGGAAGCCAGCCAGTTCAGTCAGTGTCCTGGGATGGTGGGGAGAGGCCTTGCAGTGAGCTGCACACATCTGGGCCTCAGAGCCCATCTGCAAGACTGCAGTGAGGAAACAAGAAGGGACAGCTGGTCCTTGTATCTATGACTGGAAGACACCAATATGCAAGCTCACAATATTAGAACCCCAGTCCCAGTTATGACTGAGTTCAATCTAAGCCTTTGTAAGAACAGATGGCTCGTGTCTTGGACAGTCTGAGGCAGTAGGCCTGAGGCAGGGCTGAGAATATTGTTTTCTATCTTAACTCTAAAGTCTTGGCAGTGTACATAGGGGACCTCCTCCCCATCTGAAATCACTCAAAAGCAGTAAGGAGTGGGCAGCAGGGACAAGCCACCCTTGGGGTTAGGTGACAACTGTTGCTTGGAACAGGCCGAGAGCAGGAGCCTTGGAACTGGAGGGTGGAAGAGGAGATGGAGAACAAATGAAGCCACAAACCTCCAGGGCGAGGTGCCCCCTGAGCTGCAGTTACCCCTGGTTGTAACAGTGGCTTTCAGTAGGGCTGCAGGGAGGGTCCCACGTGGAAGCCTCTGGGGTTAGGGGGAAAGGAGATTTTTGTGTGAGGGGAAGGTGAAGCTAAAACCCTACTGAGCTGGGCACCTGTGGCTCATGTCAGTAATTCTGTCTACTCAGGAGGCAGAGATCAGGAGGATCAAACCAGCCCAGGCAAATAGTTCGAGAGACCCTATGTCAAAAAACCCTTCGCAAAAATAGGGCTGGCGGAGTGGTTCAAGATGAAGGATCTTAGTTCAAACCCCAGTACTGCAAAAATAAATAAATAAACAAATAAATAAATAAACCCTACTGTACACAGGTGAAAGTGTGGCCAGGTAGGAGCACACTTGGTGGTTAGTGTAGGCAGTTCAATGCTGACAGCATATTAGAATTATTCCTCCTCCTCCCTGTCCTCCCCTTTCCCTACTCCCCCTCATTTTTCTGTCTCTATATAGCCCAGGCTGACCTAGAACTCTTTTTTTTTTCCCCTTTGGCAGTACTGGGGTTTGAACTCAGGGCCTCAAACTTGCTAGGCAGGCACGCTTAGGGCTTGAGCCACTCCGTCATCTCTTTTTTTGTGATGGATTTTTTCGAGATAGGGACTCACAAACTTTTGCCTGGGCTGGTTTTGAACTGCGATCCTCCTGATCTCAGCCTCCCAAGTAGCTAGGATTTCAGGCGTGAGCCACGAGCTCCCAGCTGACCTGAAACTCTTGATCTTCTGACCTCAGCCTCTTTAGTGCAGGGGACGGTAACAGGTACTTAAGCGGCCTTTGCTGAAAAGCACTGACTCCTTACCTGGGCTCACATGTTAATGAAAAGCTTGGTATCTCTCCTTCATTTTTTCCTATCAGTCTTTGTCTAAGCCATTCTCTCTGCAGTCTCCTTGCAACCAGGAAGGACAGCACTTATCAACAGCATGATTACAAGGAAGGATGGGGAAACTACCCCCAAGGAAGGGACATCAGAGACCCCCCTCCCAGGACAAGCGATAACAACTTCTGTGGAACCTCTCCCAGAACCAGGAAAGAGATAATGACCACCGGAACACACCTGTGACTGGGACTGTCTGCCTATGCATACTTTTGCCCCCTGCCCTAATTCTTTGCGTATTTAAGGCTAAAGCGCCTGCCTGTGCCCCAAAGATGGCTGAAGATGGGCTGAGTGCTCGCTCTGCCTCTTCCCATGCATGTCCTGGGCTGTGTAATAAACCTCCTTCCTCTGCCCTTCACAGTGTCTCTCTTTGGCGTAGAGGAGCGAGAGACTGAACCTGACATGGAAGCCCAGGAGTTTGGGCCCAGGTCCAAAACTCAGCTCCAAAATGAGTGAAGTGAGACTTTTTGAGAGTGGAGAAGTCTCTGGTTCATGCTCATTGCTTATCCTCTCCCTCCCTTCCCTCTCTGTCTTTGATGCCATTGCTGTCTTGTTACAGTGACAGGACAGGAGGGGGGTGGGAGGTTGGGACGGGGGACAGTGCAGCTCTCACGGCAGTTCTTATTTCTCTCCAGGGACAGAAGCCTCCAGTGGGCTGTCAGTGACTTATTCCATAGGAAAGAGGGTATAGTTTACTTTTTTTTTTTGCAATACTGGGGCTTGAACTCAGGGCCTACATCTTAAGCCTCTCCACCAGCCCTTTTTTGTGATGGATTTTTTTCAAGATAGGGTCTTGTGAACTGTTTTCCAGGGCTGGCCTCAAACTGTGATCCTCCTGATCTGTGCCTCCTGAGTAGCTAGAAATACTGGCATGAGCCACCAGTGCCTGGCTTAGTTTATCTTTTTTAAGATGAAGTTTACATAACATAAAACTAGTCATTTAATATAAACAACTGGGGCTGGAGGCAGGGTTCAAGTGGCAGAGAGCCTGCTTAACAAGCCCAAGGACTTGAGTTCAAACCCCAGTTCCACAAAAAAAAAAAGTGAATAAACAGGATGAACAACGGAGCAGTGTTCAGTACATTCACAGTGCTATGCAGACGCTGCCTCTGTCTTGTTCCCAAACATCTTCATCACCCCAAAAGAAAACCCCACTCTGTGTTGTGACTCTGTTTACCTCTTCTGACATGTCATACCTATGACATCCTACAACCCACAACCTTAGCACAATATCCCAGATTCTCACTTGCGGTAGAATTTATCACCAGTACCTCATTCCTTTTTATGGTGATATAATATTCCACCACATGGCCATGCCATTCATCTGCGGTCGACTCTGGGCTGTTTGTACCTTGTGGGCACTGGGAGCATCCTGCTGTGAACATGGGTGTGCACATGCTGATGGAATCCATTGAAACTCACTTCCTACCAAGGTCCTGGTCCTTTTGCTTGACTGGGTTTTTTGTCCCTGTTGTCACTGTGTTGGCTCTGGATAAGGGCATGGGTGGGGAATTCCCGTGGCTTGGCAATTTAGCAAACTGCTGCCCCTAAGGCAACGTGAGAGGCGAGAAGCAGCCCACAGAGCACTGAGTCCCTTTACCGGGTCCACCCGCATACGAGTCAGAGAAGGCCAAGCCCATTGTGGAGGAGCAGGCTCAGGAAGGGAAAGCAATCTGTGAGGTCTCACAGCCAGTCAGAGACAAAACAGAGACTGAGAACAGGTCCTGACCCCTTACACTAAAGTGCATCTGTAAGATTTGAATTTGTGGAGGTGACCGAATGATGACACAGAGGCCAAGGTCATTGAAAGAAGCTTTTGTTATCTGCATTTCCCAGAGAAGAGGGCACCCTGCCACCCGGGCCTGGGGACACACTAGGGTCAGTGGGAGCCAGGGGGGAGCGAGGGGAAGGTACTGGCAGGGCAGGGAGGGAGTGAGCTTCGGATTGGTGAGCTGGAATGATCCAGAGGCCACAGGGACTGCCCCTAGCGGTCTGGTGCCTGGTTCTGGGTGGTTTAAGGCAGGAGAAATATTGGCTTAGTGTGAGAGTTCCCCAAAGGAGATGGTAGGGGCTGGACTGGGGTTGGTTGGATATTATCATTATTACTATTGGATCTCATCATGTCGCCTGGCTGATCTCAAACTCCTGGGTTCTAGGAATCTTCCTGCCTCAGCCTCTCAAGAAGCTGGAACTACAGACATGAGCCACCATGCCTGGCTTTGCAATGACATTTGAGTACCTACAAAAGCCAGATCACAGAAGTGTAAGCAACTTTGGGTGTTCATCTGGCCCTGTAATAAATGAATGACAAATAGACAAATGCACAGAACAGCCCTGCCAGTCCTCTTGACACTCCCCAAGTTCCTCCTGGAGTTCGTGGCTCTGCAAATCTCAGCGGCATTTTTTTTTCCAGGTGCTCTACCACTTAAGCCACTCCGCCAGCCCTTTGCTGTGATGGGTTTTTCAAGATAGGGTCTTGTGAACTATTTCCCCAGGGGGTTGGCTTCGAACCTCAATCCTCCTGATCTCTGCCTCCTGAGTAGCTAGGATTACAGGCGTGAGCCACCAGTGTCTGGCTCCCAGCAGCATTTTTACCTTCTCCATACAGCTAGCCCCAGGCCTCATATTTGGTAGTTTCCTGGCTCCTGCTCCCTGGGGAGAAGACACTCTATATTAAGGTCTTGTGCAGCCACAACCAGATGTCCTCCTGGGAACCAAGGCGCTCCTTAGCATCTGGAGTTTTATGTAGGGTTGGAGCGCCATCTTGTGGGTAATTGGGGTAACACACCAATTTTAATTTCCACCTCTTCTCAAGTCTGATGCTTCAAGCTCAGTTGTTAGGGCTCCTTGGGAAATTTCTTTCCCCACTAGTGCCCCTTGTGGAATCCACCTGAGGAACTGTTTATGAAATGTACAAATCAAATGTCCACCATGCACAAAGGATGCCCTCCCCTTGCAAAGGAGTTGTGTACTGAGCTGCCTGACCCAAATAGCTTCCCAGTGAACTTATTGGATGAATCTATCCCACCTCCTCTGCCAAAGGCAGCAATAATAACAGGGGCCCCCCAAGATTAGCAGGTGGCAGCAGGGAGCTGCTGCTGCTGGTGGTGGTGGTGTGTATGTGTAAGGGGGAATCAGATGAATCAAGGAGACCAGGAAGGGCCTCCAGGAGGAGAGCATTTATGCTGAGCTCTGAAAGGGAACTGGATTTATTTCAGAAGTGGGAGAGGAACAAAATAATGTAGACCTGGTGCCCCCTTTACTGTCTACCTGTCACTGCCTGCTCCTCTTTCTTCCTCTCTCCCTGCTCTGCAATCCTAGGATCTCCAAGCCACAGTTCCTCGAAATGCCCAGGGACATGGTAGCATCTCACCCCACCCTCCTTGCACTCTGACACTGTTACTGAGCCCTTGGGTTTCAACCCTGCATCCTGCTACCTGACTCTCCTCATCCCTGCCCAGTGGTGGCTTTGAAGCCCTACTCTCTCTCTCTTTTGGGAGTCCTAGGGCTACTCCCCACCTCCTCACAGGCTTCCACAGTAGCTCTGTCATCTGAGTTTGCCTCTTTTAAGAAGAATTTGCAGTGCCCAGGGTTAAACACACTCTGAGGATCCTTTGGCTCTGGCCTGCAGGGTGCAGCAGCCCTGGCCCCAGCCTTGGCTCTCTCTGCTGTCTTAGGAGCTCCTCCTTGCCTCTCCCTTTTCTAAACCATCCTTCCCCCACCCTGTGGGTCCACAGGGTATTTTTCCACCAAGACTGAGGCAGTTGTTCGAGGGAAACTCCTTGGCGTCGGGGCAGGAGGAGAACCCATTTTGTGGCAGAGGGGACTCTGGGGTTCCAGAAAAGCCAGTTGGTCACCAGCATCAGCCTCTTTATTGTTACTGTGTTGGTCTTATTTCTACCCCCACTGGAAAGTGAACTTGGGTTGTCATCTGCCCTGTGATGAGATGACTGGCCACAAGGGGGCAGCAGATGGCAAAAGCCTTGGGATGTGAGGAGGGGACTCCCCTCCCTTGACCGCAGCCACAGAGACACAATGCAGGGCAGATTGTCCCAGACTGTCCAAGACACAAGCTTGCTGAGTAAGTGAGGCAAGCCCGGAATGCAAAGTCCCTGATTCTTTCTCCACTACCCACTGTCGCTCCAGCCTTGAACTGACCTTGGCAGAGGGGCCCAAAGACTCCTGTCCCATTCTTCAGAGCCCATGGGGGTTCCAGAATGGCTCAGGGAGCCCTCAGTGTAATGGAGGAGTCAGGACTGATAGACACACACAGGCATCGCTGGAAAAGAACTCTGCCCCAGAGGCAGGGGGCACTGCAGCCCCCTGAGAAGGAAGGGAAATCCCAGGAGGCTCAAAGTTGGGGTGGTAACTGTGGTCCACGCTGGAGGAGACAGCTCACACCCATGTCAGGAGCCCTGGGACCACAGAGGGGGACTGGGCAGGCTTCCTGGGGCTGGAGAGGAGGGCTGGGCCAGAGGGATGTTAAGTGGCTTAGCCTGGGAGCTGGGCTGCAGGTGGAGCTGGAGGGTTGGCCCTGAAGTGAGTGTTGGAGGGGGCTGAGAAGTGGGGGAGATGGGCCTCAGCTGCAGGAAGTCCCCATCCAGGGAGATCCCCAGCACTTAAGAAGGGTCCTGCACCCACTTCCGGAACAGAATCTAATGCATGCTCTCAACTTTGCATGGTGCAAGGATCAGGGCTGGTTTGGGGGCGACTGGGAGACTTCAGGTCCAGGAAAGACAGAAGGGGATCCAGCCAGCCCTCCCAGGACTCCCGCCTGCCAACACATGCACAAGGGAGGAGGGGGCAGCCTGCTGTGGCCTGCTGAGCCTCTAGTCCACCCCTGTCCTGCGTCTCTCACCAGGACCTCCCCTCAGCCTCAGTTTCCCTTTCTGACCTGGACAGGGCAGGACCAGATGTTCACCTTCCCATGTGACAGGCCAGAGTTAAAGGGTGTCCTGCACTGTGGAGACAGAACACGCTGACCCAGACTGAGGGAGGAAGACTTTAATCTGCCCATGGCTTTAATTTGAAAGGGGACCAGGTCTCCCTCACTGTGACTCCCCTCTGTCCTCATGAGGCATCCACTGACCCAGAACACCAACGCTGGAAGTCCCCCACAGTTCAGGGAGAAAATCAAGACTGCTGGGTGGCACGGGACTTCTTGAGGGTTTCTAAGTACTTCATGGCTTTCTTAACATGCTTGTCCTTGGGATCTGAACAGATGAACTTGCCCTGGATGGTCACAAACCTGCACAGAGGGAACCCATGGGGGTGTCAGGGTGGGAAGGGCCTTCCAGAACCCCACAGCCAGCCCCGCCCTGTGCTGATCAGGACCCTGGGGTTCTGAGAATCAGGAATTTTATGTGGTCACACATGCTGTCAGCAACAGGCTCTGATGGCTCCATGTCTTTGAAATCCTCGGCCCTGGTGCAGTTCCTGCCATTCCAGTGGTCAGGGACCAGAGCCTGGCAAAGTAGAGGTAGCACAAGGGACCTAGTGCTGGGATCTGTCCTTTATCTAGCTCAGGCCAGGACAGAAATGGCCATATCACTTCCCACTGGCTCTGTGACCTGGAGTGTCCCATCCCTCTCTGGCTTCAGTTTCACCATAAATGAATGAAAAGTTTGCACCTCACAGCGAGGGTGCAGAAGTGCCATGGGGCCAGGCTAGTGACAGGCAGAGAGCTGCTTCTCCAGTGGCCATCTGGGAGTCTAGGGTCTCCCCACTCCCCATGCTTGGTCCTAGGAACGGAAGTGGGGGTGGAAGGAGACTCACACAATGGCGTTCCTGGAACACTCGGGTGGGGTCTTGTACCATGTTGCCAGCCTTCTTACAGGAATGGCCCCCTTGAAGAGCTCCCGGCAGCACTCCCGGCCTGTATTGGGGGCTCGAGCTACAAGAGAGACAGCAGAGCCAGACTGTCCCCAAGGGGCCGTCCCTGTGGTGGGCCTGCATGTGCGTGTCTGTGTGTTTCTGCAGGAGGTCACCACGTGCGTGTCCTCTCTGTGCCTGTGCATCTGCATGTTACTGAGGGGGTCCGTGCACACGTGTGTGGCTGGTGTCTGTCTGTTAATGTGTGCGTTTATGACTACGTAGGAGACCTATCTGCCTGCTGTGGGGAGGGCTTGCTTTTGTGCACATCTGTGCATTTATCTGTGTGTCTGTGTGTGCATCTCAACTTTATTTCAACTTTCCTCACCAAAAAGAATATAAAAGCTCTTTTTCACTAGCTCTTAGAACCAGTTCTCCTTATGTTGCATCCCTCGTACCTATTAATAAAACAGATGCTGACAAAGCCTGAGGATGGTTCTTTCTGCACCATAAACCACAGTTGTGTCACTGCCTCCCACCACTGCAATGTGAGATGTGCCACTCGGGCTCACCAGGCAGGTCCCCCAAGGCAGGGTCAGAAATATATCATCATAATTATCCTTATTACTTTCTTTCGATAGCTTTCCTTGGAGTGTTATTGGTGCCAGCTCTGCGGGTCCTTTGTACATGAATAGTACATGAATGTCAAGTGTGTGTTGCTGTCATGGTCCCTGTGCCTTCATGTCTGTTGGGGTGGGTTCCTTCATCCCTGCCTCCCCCCTGCCCCGTCCCCACCACCTGTGCCCTGGTCTCTCTCACCAGCTTGGCTGTGCTGCAGGGAAGCTCCCAGAAGCAGGATGGCCAGGAGCAGTGTCCTCAGAGGTTGCATGGTGTCAAAAGCCTGGGAGAAGGTGTCTGCACGGGTCCCTCTGCTCAGGGGAGATGAGGATGCAAGCTGAGATGGGATGACCTATTTAACCTCCGGGGGTCATGCCCCGCCTCCTGTACCTTCCTCCACAGTCCTTCCTCCACCAAATTCCTCCATCTCAAATTCGAGAATTTGAGATGATTCAGGAGAAGTCCAGTCTTGGAATGTTTGTGGCTTTCCAGAGAATGGGCACTCGACTGGGGACAGAGGTGGGGTCCATGTGTTCAGGGCTAAACAGTGATCTACTTCTCCTTTCAGAGGGGACATTTCTTGGTTCCTCTATTAGCAGAACCAAAAGGCCTCAACTGGGTTTGCCGCCTGCTCTGATATGGTGAACTTCTGTTATGCCCGGTGCCCTGCAGGGACACTCGGGGTGGACACTCAGGCTGGGCTCCTCCCTGGGTTGTGGAAGAGCTGCAGGGTGCCCAGGAGGCCAGGGGTGCTGTGTGCAGGAGCCCAGTACTGCTTTGCAGGGAGGGAGGCACTGTGGGACCCTGAACAAGTCCAAGACTTAGGCAAAGCCCAGAGCGACTTTCAGCTGTGTGCCTGTCCTTCCCAGCCTTGTCCTGACCAAAGAAGGCCAGAGCCCAGTGGGCTCTGTGTGCGTGGATGGGTGGGGAAACCCAGCTCCCCGGATGCAGAGTAGAGTGAAAGGATGGCAAAAGACAACACTTCTCCTGCAGAGCTGCATCCCCGAGTCTGCACTGGACACTGACCAGGGGCCAGTGGCACCAGGGCCTGAGCGCTCTTTCTAGAAACCCACGTGGAGCTTTCTGCTTAGTCTGAGACCAGGGGTCGCTGCAGGCTGGTCAGTGCCCTGGCTACCAGGGGCTTCCCAGGACCATAGCCTGGCATCTCTTAAATACGAGGGACCCATGCCCTCCTCCAGGAGCCTGGTGTCCCTGCAGGGCGGCTCGAGGTGTAGAGGTGCCTGGACTTTGATCCCAATACATGGGATCTGGGCCCATGTCCTGGGTTCTCCTTGTCCTTGAATGACCAGAGCAGCTCAGAACGGCCACCCCAAAGCCCACAGCATGGTTTCAGGTACATTCACCCTCTCATGATTCACTGTGGTAATCATTGAATTGTCATTGCATTTTCATTAACGGTGATGATAACAGCAGGTTGTCTGTTGAAAGCTGACTCTCAGGAGAGTACTCAGAGGTCCCGTGAGGGGACCAGATCAAGGACGGAAAGGCCAACACCCTTCTCCCTGGTCAGGCTCCCTGGGGGCTGGCTGGGGCTGTTTCAGTTCCTGTGGGGGAAGGCTTTCCCTGCCCCTGGCAGAATGTCCTTGCCTGCAGGTCCTCTCACTCTGCTTTGCTGTGTGACCTAAGGCAGCCCAATTTGAATTGTGTCTCAATTTCATCACTTACAGAGAAAAGTCTAGATGGTTTCTAGGAAACCAACCAAGATGGTAGGTCTAGGCAGTTAGAGTAGTGCATGCCTATATTCCCAGCACTCTGAGTTCAAGGCCAGCCTGGGGCTACTTAGTGAGACACTGTCTCAAAAAGCAAAATACAGCTGGGTACTGGTGGCTTATTCCTGCAATCCTAGTTACTCAGGAGGCAGAGATCAGGAGGATCATGGTTCAAAGCCAGCCCAGGCAAATAGTTCACAAGCCCCTATCTTGAAAAACTCTTCTCAAAAAACAGCTGGTAGAGTGGCTCAAGGTGTAGGCCCTGAGTTTAAGCCCTGGTACTGCAAAAAACAAATAAGCAAATAAAAATAAAAAGCAAAATACAAACAAACAAAGACGGTAGATCTAGGAAAGATAGAATCCTCCATTGGTGGTCCTCCGACCAGCATTTGTCTGCTTCCCTTGGAGTCGTTTAAACTGACAAGACCTGAATCCTGCCCCTCCTGAAGCCATAGCTGGGGTAGGGTCTTAGCCTCCAAGCTTCTGACCAGGCCCTCAGCTCAGGACCCCAGGGCAGGCTTCATGGGCTTCCTCCTTGGCAGGGAAGGTTCCAGGGTGCATGTCCTCGGGCAGCTTCCCAACAGAAGGGGACGAGCACCCTGCTGCACCCCTGGTTGTGGAGTCAGGCTGGGCTGGGAAGGGCTATGAGGAAGGAAGCTCTGACAAGGAAGCAGGGGGCCTGGGTCCTAGGAAGAGGCAGGAGGGATCTGACCGCCCCCTTCAGTAGGGTGCCCTCCCTGCTCCCATTCCCTCTGGCCAATGGCTCCAGCCCAACCTCCCACAGCTCCTCTGCCTGCTGCAGAGGCCACAGCACACAGTTCAGAGATAACCCACAGCAAGACACTACTGTGGCCGGGCACTGGTGGCTCACACCTATAATCCTAGCTTCTAGGGAGGCTGAGATCAGGAGGATAGAAATTTGAGGCTAGCCAGGGCAAATAGTTCACAAGACCCCCATCTCCAAAATAACCAGAGCAAAATGGACTGGAAGTGGGCTCAAGCCATTCTAAGAGTGTCTGCTTTGCAAGCAGAAGCCCTTAGTTCAAACCCAGGCCCAGAAAGAAAAGAAAAGAAAGGAAAAGGGAGTCTACATTCCCATGCTAGGATTGGGAACTCATTCACACACTTTGGCTCTAGACCCCATTGCTGGGGAAACTCCCTGCGTGGGTTTTGAGACCTCTTTGGTCTGTTGCACACTCAAAACTTTTCTCCAGAAGGACCGAAATTCCCCTGTTCTTCTAGGGAACCTATCAGGGCACTGACTAGGAGCAGAAGGTTCTGGATGTTGCTGGGCTGGTGCAGCTGCTAGAGCAGGGAGGGAGCCACCTGGTTAGAGCTGGGCCAGCCCAATGCAGCCTCAGCACTTAGTGGGGGGGGGTGCTCACAGTGGGGAGGGTACAAGGGAATAGGGCCAGGCTTCTTATAGGGAGTGCAGGTGAGATTAGAGTTCTGGAGGGCAATGAGGAGAGAAACCTTGGAAGGCTGCCTGGAGGAGGTAGTGCTGAGCTGAGCCTTGTAGGTGGAATTCATACCCAGACAGGAGAGAAAGGCATTTCACACGAGGGCACCGCAAAGGTGTAGAGGAGAAAATGTGCAGAGATAAACTGGGAGCACAGCGTGGAATTCTGTTGTGGAAATGCCAGGACACTAGGCTGAAACAGTGAGGCCCACAGGACAGGGCCTTATCTGCTCAGCCCAGTGCCCAGCATCCCCAGCACCAAGCACAGTGCCTGGAAGTCCACTGGTGATGCTCTACAGCATGGGCTGAAAATGGGATGGAAGAAAGGAGGGGTGAGTGCGGGGCTGAGCACCTCTACTTGTTTGAGAAGCAGCCCAGGGACATTCATGAGGGACTTTCCCATCAGGGATTAGCTGCACCCATTCCCCTATTTCCCCGGCAGTGACACGGATTCCAAGGGACCTTCCAGATGGAATGTTCCGGAGCTGGCCTAGGAGAAGGGTCTGGAGAGCCCTTTCCAGGGCTGGGAGGTCTGTCAGGGCAATCAGGAACGCTGCATGGAGGAGGTAACCACAGCAAGGCAGGGCACTGTGGAAGGACAGCTAGGAGAGGGTGCTCAGGCTGGAGGGAGGGAAGGAGGAAGCCAGGAAAGAGGCCTGATGGGTCTGCTAGTAGCAAAGGGTACAAGGAAAATTGAGTGTGAGTTGAAGGAAGACACGGTAGTCACCACTGTCTGACCTGTCCGGACCCCCGTGAACTAAAGAGGGCCAGACACAGGGCCTAGCTCTCTTGCCCCACGTCTGCTGCTGCTTCCAGGGAGCTCCTGGGGCAAAACCAGCTGGACCCCATCCTGCTGTGGCCAGAAGGGTGTGGACCAGCAGGATGTGGGGTTCCTCACCCTGAGAGAAAGGAAGCTCGTCCCCAAGGGATGGGCGGACCAGGGATGCTCTAGGTCACAGAGTGGGACTGACTTGACAGTTGTCACTGACCAGGAAAATGAATGTAATCCCAACTCATCGTCCAGTGGGTCCCCTCTCAGGCCCAGTGATGGTCCCCAAACAAACATCAGCGTGAGCAAGGGACTCCCCTCCTCAATCCTTCCCTGCCTCCCTTTGTCCTCAAGGGAGGTCTACCTTCCTGCCGATTCAGCCTCAGCTTTCCCTCCAGCCCTCGGCCTGCCTGCTACATCACTGTTTTCAGTTCCTTGAAATGCTGGGCCCACACTGGTGTCCAAGCCTTTTTGTACAGGCCGCTCCTCCTGTATGCTTCCACCCCCAGCCCACTTCCTCCCTCTCCTGTCTTCCTTCAGACAACAGCTTGGACCTTCTCTCACTTCTTGAACTCCCACCCACCTCTGTTCCCAAGGCCACTGGCTTCCCCATCGCAGCTGTCTTCACACTTCCTTGTGGTTGCTCACTTGTTTGCTGTGTCCCACACAAAAGTCTGTGACATCCTTGAAAACAAGGGCTGCTTTTGTGTTCTAACTTGTCCATCTAGGACTTAGCACTTAGTAAGTGCTCAATAAGTTGTTTATTGAATGGCTGAAAAGGTTGGTGGTTGGATGGATGGATGGATGCATGGATGGATGGGTGAATGAATGAAAGAATAAATGGATGATGGATGGATGGGTAAATATGTTTGTGGATGGATGGGTCAGTGAATGAATGAATGAAGGGGGGATGGGTGGGTAAATGAGTGGATGAATGAAAGATGAATGACCTAAGGATGAACACGCGGATGGATATGTAGATGGATGGTGGATGGACAGATAGATGCATAGGTGCATGGACGGGTGTGTGGTCTCTTACAAATTTCTGAAATGCATCATGGGACCAGCTTACATTCCTTTTTTTTTTTTTGGCAGTTCTGGGCCTTGAACTCAGGGCCTGTATCTTGAGCCACTCCACCAGCCCTTTTTTGTGATGGGTTTTTCTGAGGTAGGGTCTCACAAACTATTTGCTCACTGGCTTCAAACCTCAGTCCTCCTGATCTCTGCCTCCTGAGTAGGATTACAGGTGTGAGTCACCAGCACCCTGCTTTTTTTTGTTTTGTTTTGTTTTGTTTTTTTGGCACTACTGGGGTTTGAACTCAGGGCCTTGG